CTAAGTATTATTCAACATACACGATATATACCCCAGTTTGTATATTTAGATTACAAAAAAGAAGAAAAAAACATGTGACATGTGACAATGATATGATTTACATTGATAGACTTTGCTGCCATGTTAAGTAAAAAAGTCAACTTTTTTATTCAAATGACAATATTTTTATTTTTATTATTTTTGGGCGGGAGTGAGGGAATGGACCAGTACTTTTTTGAGGTCAGGTAGCGGGAGGGGAAACAATAATATTTTTTAGGCACCAGCAATATAAGTACTGTTTTGTTAACTTATGTTTTTTGTTGAATTAGAAACATGTTTCTTACTGGGCATACAACCCTACTGATAAAAAAAAAGTTTTAAAATTAACATATAAAACAACGAAACAGAAATATTTCTTAATATGTAAATTAAAAACCCCGTTAAAATCAATCTGTTATGAGTGAACGTGTAAATGTACATGCATAATCAAAATTGAATAAATACGCGTATGAGAAGAAAAAAAAACACTCAATGACTAACTTCACAAAATATATTCTCTATTACATCTAATTGGCCATTTCCTTTTCTAGGTAAAGGAGGTTTGTTTACTGAATAAACCTTTATTTTGTACTAATTGGATAAAAAAATAAAATGCTGAAATATTGCAAAGTACGCACTCAGATTAATGAGCTCATTTCTCTCTTAAATGTAACGTAAACATGTTTTCGACTCCATTTTAGGTGAAACGTGCCTTATTAAGACATGTGGTACAGAACGCCAGCATACGGTGGCATAAAAGTGACATTTGCAAATTTTATTGCTTTTTTTTCCATACATATTTTTTTCATACACATTTTTTGTAAATATTATATTACTTTTTCGTGCATACTTTATTTTCGTTTTTCGTAAATATTTTTAGCCAATCAAAACAGCCGTTACATCTCATAACAGCCCATAGATGAAAATAGGGGTTTAAAAAAATTACGCCATTTGTAAACATGACGCCATTTGCATAGCAGAGGTTTGGATAGTTATGCCATTTGTTAAACATAGTTTTAAAACACTTCGCCATTTGTAATGAAATAAAATATGTATGCAAAACTAAAATATAATATGTACGAAAAAAATAAAAAAAAATATGTATGCAAAACTAAAATAAAGTACATGTATGTATGCAAAACTAAAATAAAATATGTATGTAAAAACTAAAAATAAATATGTACGAAAAACAAAAACAAAACAAAAATATGTACGAAAAAAAAAAAAATACGTAAAAAAAAAAATAAGTATGAAAAACAAACAAAATTAAAAAAATTGCAAAAGTCACTTTTATGCCACCGTACCAGCAAGCATAATAATGAAAATAAACGACCGTTAAACAATTAAAAAAACAACAAGATATGTAATAGTTAGATGATATTGAGGGAAATGATTAAACAATTTAACCATCTCAAAGGATCGACGTAGAGGCGACACATAGCTGTTCTGTTCTTATAAGCGTCTCATTAATAGTTATTATTGTCGCCTCTGAGACGAGGCCACTTATAGTTGTTGACTTACTTTTAATAGGCGCGTGTAGTGTTTATGTAGACAAATGCGACATTTAAAGCAATAATGCTGATTAATATGAAAAAGAAATAAGTACATTAAAAACATTACAAAAATGAAATGTTAAATTTTACGTACACAATAATATGGTTTCTTCAAAAAATAAAGAGCCAATTGGAACAGGATTTATTTATCCAAGCACATTTAAAATTGGCGTACATTGTATCTCTTGCCTGTAGCTGGTTTCCGGTTGGAATCGTAATTCGCTAACTTGCATATAGACCCATACAAAGGTAAACCTCAATATTTCAGAAACAATTACAGATTGATTACAAGTATTAGCATTTTCAAAAATGCTAGGTATTGAAGTTCAGCCGGGTATTCGAAAATTTCTTTTGTCAAATAGATTCTATCTGAACGATCAAGCAAATGTTAAGAGAAATGCTCCGAATACTTTTTACCCCGCATGAGCCTTCACACTGGTTGTGAGCTTCGTACACTTCAATTCTACACACTGATAGAAAGACACAACTGTAACTGTATAGGTGTTGCCGGCGTGCCCCATAGTCGCCCCTTTTTTAAGGTATTTTTGGTCGTCCATTTTGTAATCATGTGGTATTAAAGTCGCCATTCTGATTGGCTTAGGGGGTAGAAATGGTCAAACATTGTAACTGTATAGGTGTTGCCGTTCCTGGACGGCGACAAAAAGACAGGATATACTGGTATAGGTACATGTACAATGAAATGGACTAATCCAGAAAAAGGGAGAACAGCTAAAGACGATATCAAATCTAACAAGTTAACTTCCTGTTTTCCGCATTGTTGTTACCGGAAATTACCGATTACATTGCATCCTTGTTCGCTACTTGGAACTGGTTTTAGACACGATAACGGAAATATTTGGGTTTTTTATTATTATTTTCTATTGACAACATATTCTATATAATTATGGTATTGATTGCAAATATTTAAACATATGCCTTATTTAAGATTCAACACGTACTAGAGGTTCAGTTGGTAAGTAAGGGTGTACATCTATAGACAACGCGTTCTTAGGCGAGGTACACGTTCCTTAATACATGTATTACGCTTCGAAACATTTTGTATGATTTATTTAGAGAAGTTTGGAGTTACTGCCCGGCGATATATAACTAAAATACCATTAAAAGGCGTATTTCAACCCAATAATAAGAAATATAAGAAGCAAAACACGAATTATCCATTTCTTTAGATCAACTCTGGTATTGTTTATACGTTGCAAAAAATAGAACGAGCTCCGTCTGAAACCGTTATTCTTTCAGTCATCCAAGTAAAATTTCATTTACTAATATTCTTTATATTTTACCTTGATTTTGATCAGCAATATCACTTTAGGTGAATGGTTAAATACACGCTTTTAAGGATAGTTTATGCGTAATAAAAATCTTTAGATATTCCTACTGGAAAATAAAGGCATATACTTAAATAAGTACATGTACTATCAATGTTGTTTTGTTACGTATTGAAAATCTTTTAATTTATTATTTTCAGAATCTGTATGCAATAAACATGAATGGCAACAGTGTCTTCAGAACTACGTGGATATCGCTTTCGAGGGTTCCGGTCCAAGTCATTGCAGGCAATAGGACTTTTTTTTTAGATAAATAACACAAGGAATCATTTTCAACACTAGACACACATTCACCATCGTCATTACCATAATACCGCAACCACGCCACCACCTTAACAACAACCCCAAAATTTGGCCAACACCACAATACACCACCAATTCGGCAATAAAATAATCTTTACCACCACCAACACCACCACACATCACAACTACAATAAAAAACTTAAGCTACCACCGTTACGTCATGACCTTCAGCATAAAATCATTACCAGCACCACCGTAACACCAACACCAACATCATAACACAATCACTATTAATGATCATACACGTAAAATGACATGGTTACGTATTTTTTTATTTATTTTAGTACTAAAATGACAGAAAATTGGAAATTAAAATATAACTTTGCTTTTCATTTTTGTCTTAACTATCGCAGAAAGAAACTGTTATTCTAGTATATAACTAACATTACATATATATTCATACATAAATGTATATTTTTTAATAAATATAAGATCAAAAACATTATGATATCCTGCTGCAAATTGTGTTTTAAGCTGACCAATCATGCAAATCTGTTATGTTCTTCTAGTTACAATAAGACTCGTTTGTTCATTAACGCTTGTACCTCAGAGTTTAAGCTAATTATGTATATACCAAAAGATACATGCCAAAACAGACGAAACTGCAAAATCAAAATTTGTTAGGTCCAGTTCTGGCGAGTAACACTTTTTTTTATAAATGATTTTTTTCCCTTTCTCTTTTAGCAATCTAACGTCGGAACATCCATGTATAACAGAACATGTGACCAGCTGCAAGGATCAGAGTGGATCTACCTTATCTTCTGTCATTAGTCCATACCTACCCCTTCTTGATAGAGTGCACGAGCTGTCTTGCAAGAACAGTAAGAATCAGTCGCCATTTGATGTTCTTAATTGTATGACGTTTAAAATATTACAAGTTGTTGTTTTGATATTTATATGATATTTTGAAATTCCTAAGTACATGTAGTTATGACAAAATAATGTCAATTTAAAACTCATTATGTCTTAGAAACAGACTCTGTTCAACAATACAATTTGCCGATATAACTTAAGATGAAAAAAGAGGTTCATGTATATAGCAAATGAGTTAGTTTTTGGAAACTGTAAAGATACCAAAATAAACAACTGTTTTTTGAAAATTAAATTAGAAATGCGTTTCTTAGGCATAATGGGCCTTTAATGTTATTGCTATATTTATTTTCTTTTATTATAGAAGGTGAACAACATACATGTGATATACACGAGGCTAAGTCATGTATCAAAGACTATATGACGGTGCTGACCACTGGCCATCTAGGAAGTATTTGTCGGTAAGGCTCATCAGCTTAATAGGCCGTAAAATAACCAAAAAAAACAAAACAAACTTTAATTAGCGCTTTGAACGGTATTAGAGTAATATTATATATCAAAGCCAACTGTAACTTGATTAGCGTAAGCAAAGACCGTGTTATATTGCAAAGCTTACACTTCTTGTGCATTTTAATATTAAAAGATAAGACATCTGAAAATTCATAAAACTACTGCAGCACGGTAGAAGTTAAGATAAATTACTTTGTAGGAAATTATTTGAGATTGAAATGACCCATTTTATGAAGAAGAAAAAAAAACCCGAACACATTTCTTGTCTTTTAATGCGAGTGAAAAAAACAACAAAAATATGTGTCAATTGGAAATACTTTCTCGTTTAATTATTATTTCATATGTTATTATTTTGAGGTCATGTCCAAGTGTTCGGGTTTTTTCGTCTCTTTTCTCCTTCGCAGAAACACTTAGAGCTCAAGTGGTCACGCGAACTTGTTTTTATTCCACTTCAGACAAACCTCTTTAGCACTTAGCTGTTTGTCTACAGTACTTAATCGTTGTACCGGGATGTCAAGATATTTGGTGGCCTTGATAGCAGACGAGATGCAATTGACCTCTGACCTTTGGTGTTCAGAAGTGTCATGTAGAATTAACCTCGCCAGTCAGTGTTTAGAGGACGGAATGCGTATCATTGATTATCCAGTTGCCATAGAAACGCAATCAAAATTAATTTGCAGGTATTTAGTTGTAATATTTATAATGATTCTTGGTTTTCATTGGAACTAGAGATAAAAAGTGCCAAAAAAATACATGTACCATTTTTATCTGAAAACCTTTTTCCAATAAACATGAATTTGTCTGTGAGCTAGGGTTCTAAATAATTAGTATTATACGTTTGAAATACTGTTAAGACAACAATTGAATCTAATGGTTGAATATTTGTTCTTACTGACCATATTTAGATAACCGAAACGTAATGAAGTTATTGTACAAATTAATTCATGTATGATTACTCACAGAACGGATATATGTTTTACTTCAAATTGTAAAACTTTGTCTCTACAAAATGTATTATCATTCTGAAATTACATTTTAGGGGTGTTAAGTCATCGTTAGCATGCATTACCAATAACACTGACCTTTGCGAGCTCGACACTATACCACAATATCTGTCAAATGGCTTTATGCAATTGTATCAGTTCTCGGCTGCTTTCTGTGCAAGCGAAACCGGAAATGGGGTGACTTCCGGTTTGCCACGTGACCTTATTGCGCCAGTATACCTGGCAGCTTTGACAGCTAGCGAATGGACATCAGTAAATGACATGTGCAGGTTTGGAAACAACTTAATATCAAATCAAATCTGTTATTTTTTTACATTTTTTCATATCTAATAAGGCTTCTTTATTTTTGTATTTATTGCTACTTAATAGTCACGAAATTTATTAAACGTTTGATGATAAGATATGTCTAAATCTAGTTTTTTTCTAATTTTCAAATAAATGAACATATAAAATATATTAATTAAAATGAAATGTTATACTTTTTAAAGTGTGTACAACGCGACATTAAGAATGGCTGCCACAGAGAGAATCTCCATGGCAACAAACATCGAGCATTTGTTGACATGGCAACAGGTAACAAGTATCAGTCTAGATAAATTGTCAGATATGTGTCTCAACAATCATTCTTACAACTGTCAGTGGGTCGAAGTATTAGCCAATCAGAATCCAGTATGTGATGTTGAAACAGCGAAACAATGTGTTGATATGGTCTTGCTGAGCAAATTAACAGTTGACGTCATTCTGATGAGGTCATCATGGCAGACAGTCTGCTCGTAAGGCAACTTTTTTAAAATTTAAAATATTGAATATCAATGTGTCACACCACGCAAATAAAACCACAGGCTTAACAACATAAAATTCCTTATTTATTATGAACAATTCTTCTTCTTTTTTGTCGTAAGGACTTTTTTAATGTCGTAATAATTAGCAACTCAACGCTAATATATTTGTCATGAAAATGATATGCTGAGAATAAAATTAATCATTTAAAAATATTAGATTTCCTTAAAATGTGTATTCTTAAAGTAAATGATTATGTGATATGGTAATAAGTTTTTTTGGCTTAGTTTATTTATTTATCATGGAATATTACATGCATGTGATTAAAACTACAAATAATATGTAAAAGATAAACCAAAACATGATAAAGGGCTCATAGCACAAGTTAAAAGCAATGGAAGTAAATTGACGTAAATTTATCGTATGTCGGTTTCACCCGTTATGTTTATTTCTGATTTACAATAATTCGCCTTAAAGAAAAGTTATTAAGTCAGAAAGTACTAGTAATACCCACAATAACCAATTTGTGTAATATACTTTATGTAAGACTTGCCAATGGGTACTGACATGCCCTGTTCACTTGCAGGGTTGCCTACGACATGCTGGCATGTGCACAGTATCATACTCGAGCTTGTGTCACATCTGACCTCTCAGAGATTCTTCAGGCAACACAAGAGGTCGAGAATCTTGTAGGTTATGAATGCAATCAGCTAGGAGCATCCGGGTCACAAGAGGTCTGTGATGTCGAGCACAAATTTTGTGACTCTGCCAATGCAGTACATGAGTGCATTATGGTGGCATATGGGTTAACAGATCGTTGCAAGTAAGTCCTGAAAATATAAATGTGAACAAGATACAATTCACAAAAAAGAGAGATATATTGTGTATTTACTAAAACAAGTAAATTAATATCCTGACTTTATGGTGTTGAATGAAAGCTTATTAATTTTTCTAGAATAAATATATGTTTCTTATTATGCTTTGATGGAGTGAATTTGTCGTGTATCTTAGTATGTCATGTATTTAGTGTCGGTACATAATTCAAAAAGCATTTCTATGTTTGGTTTATGCTGAAAGAGGAAAAGAACGATAAAAGAATGAATAAATAAGTGTCATACTATGCAACTGTTACACAGTAGACTTTAATGAATTCAAAACCGTCCATTGTATAATAATATTGTTATTTTAATACATATTTTATGGGACGTATCTGTACGTTTGCTTTTATTTCATTAATACGTAATAGCAATTGGACATTTGTAAAACATCTGAGCATAGTTTACTTAGTACTTTTGAAAATGTTGGCATACATCATTAAATAAAATTTTTAAATGACCTACTTTGAATGTTTTCAGAGAGCAAGAAAAAATATACAACTGTTTTAAGAATCATCTGCATGCCTGTAACTCTATTCAGAAAGTCCCAGCTCAGTTCACATTTGAGTGGTTGTTGAACAATTGCTCAACTAATCTGACATTGCTGGAGGAAGACATGTACGTTGGTGTCAGTCAGTGCAAATTACGTTATGGCTATAACATATTCAATGGTCTGCTGACCTATTCAGGTATGTATATAGTGTCGGTAAGTAATTAGTGAAGCATTTCTCTGTTGAGTTTCTGAAAATAAAATAGAAAAAGACCGATGCGCAAAATGTTAGCATGAACTTGATAAATATGCTTCTGCTACTAATCACGTTTGCGATTGTTTTCAAGGACGAATTTTGAAAGAACTTTGCAAGGAAGTCGATTTTAGGAGTATTTACTAAAGGATTCTTCCAAACATTAGTATATTCTTACTTTATATCTGTGTCGTCTGCTTCCAGATTTCAACTCTATGATTTGCGCTGTGACGTCATTGTACCGACAGTGTTTAGCCGACCAATCATTTCCAAGTTTGGCAACGCTCTACATGCAGGAAGTAGACGATTTCTTTTCATTCATGCAGCAGACGACATGTAATAACACACAATCCTCATCTGATATCTCTACAGTAGCAGGTACTGTGCTTGTGGTTCAACTGTTTAAAATAAAAAAATCAAGCAAGTTGTAAGAAAGGATCCGGATTTTGTATATATATTTCATTCAATTTGTTTGCTGTCCAAAGCCATTGCACCAAAATTTTTGCTAGAATTAGAGAAGCTGAATTTTCAGATATAAGATGTTATTTGGCTTGTCGGTTTTCCATTTATATACAGTACTTTATTAAGTTTACGATTAAAATCTTTTTATCAAAATTGTCCGTTTAAAATAAAGTACATAGAGCAAAAAAATGTTAATAGTTCTAGCAATTCCTGGAAATTTTTTTTATAGAGGAATGACAAAAAAGGTGAAAACTACACATACACTCTCATTATCATGAGATAAAAGAGATGAAATGGAATACATAAGATCACTTAAGCCCCTAGCACCGGCTGAAGCAGAAAATAGATAAAGAAACAACATAAATATGGCGTTTTAACTATCGCCTGGATGTAAAATGGTTTTGAATGAATTCAGGTGACGATCAATGTAATTTTGTCATTCTTGTATAAATTTATCTTTTTCCGAAATATTCTTTTTTTGTTGTTGATTATTTTTACAGAATCCAACGAGTGTAGTTTCGTTGAGACGGCCGGAACAGTCACTCTGAGTATAGAATTTTACAGTAACTTCCCTTTCATGAGTTTAAATGACCAGGAAGTTGTCTGCAGGTATCTTTTTGTTCTTTTTTTTTGCTAAACAATAAAAATATTTTATTTTGATACTCTGGTAATTTTGCTCAACAATGTTTTAGAGCAATGTTGAAGAAATTAAAGATGCATTTTTTGTATACATAAAAAGCATTTTTTAGTTCTATAGTACATTATATTAAATTACGCATTTTGTTTCGGAGTAAGAAGCTATGCATTGTCTAACTTGTCAAATGGTTTATTTCATTATGTATTGCGCGTAAAATAGTTTGCACATTATACTGAGATTTAAGCAGTACGCTATAATAATACACGTGCTTTGCGGGGATAAATACATTTCAAAATACGTTCGCAAAAAAAAAAGCGGACGTGCTCAATTTGATAAAAAGAAAAAAAAAATTTGTGTAAAACTGCGTCGCAGCTAGCGTTCAAGTGCTCTAGTGTATAAGCGCCCTCTACATTTAGTAATTGAGCACTTGAACTCTAAGCCTCATAACTGTGTCAGCTACATTTCTATTTTTTAAACACAATCTTTGCATGATTCAGTTATTGATATATTTTTTTAGTTTGTATATGAATGAGTGGTAGAGTGAGTGAGTGAGTGAGTTGGTGAGTAGGTGTGTGTGTGAGTGAGTGAGTGAGTGAATGAATGAGTGAGTTGGTGAGTATGTGAGTGAGTGAGTGAGTGAGTGAGTGAGTGAGTGAGTCAGTGAGTGAGTCAGTGAGTGAGTGAGTGGGTGAGTGAGTTGGTGAGTGAGTATGTGAGTGAGTATGTGAGTCAGTATGTGAGTGAGTATGTGAGTGAGTGAGTATGTGAGTGAGTATGTGAGTGAGTATGTGAGTGAGTATGTGAGTGAGTATGTGAGTGAGTGAGTATGTGAGTGAGTATGTGAGTGAGTATGTGAGTGAGTATGTGAGTGAGTATGTGAGTGAGTGAGTATGTGAGTGAGTATGTGAGTGAGTGAGTGAGTGAGTATGTGGTGGGGTGAGTGAGTGAGTGAGTATGTGAGTGAATAAGTGAGTGAGTGAGTATGTGAGTGAGTATGTGAGTGAGTATGTGAGTGAGTATGTGAGTGTGTGAGTGAGTGTGTGAGTGAGTATGTGAGTGAGTATGTGTGTGAGTGAGTATGTGAGTGAATGAATGAGTGAGTGAGTATGTGAGTGAGTATGTGAGTGAGTATGTGTGTGAGTGAGTATGTGAGTGAGTATGTGAGTGAGTATGTGAGTGAATGAATGAGTGAGTGAGTATGTGAGTGAGTATGTGAGTGAAGTGAGTGAGTGAGTATGTGAGTGAATGAGTGAGTGAGTGTGTGAGTGAGTGAGTATGTGAGTGAGTATGTGAATATGTGAGTGAATGAGTGAGTATGTGAGTTAGTGAGTATGTGAGTGAGTATGTGAGTGAGTGAGTGAGTATGTGAGTGAGTGAGTATGTGAGTGAGTATGTGAGTGAGTATGTGAGTGAGTATGTGAGTGAGTATGTGAGTGAGTATGTGAGTGAATGAGTGAGTATGTGAGTGAGTATGTGAGTGAGTGAATGAGTGAGTGTTTAGTTACCGACTATGTTATTTATATTTAAATTCATTTCAGAACATATCCATCTTTCAAAGACATCTGGGTTTCTAGGGCAACTTCTTGTACAGCCAGACGACAAAAACTCATATCAGACGCTATAGTCTATTTCAACACAATGCACGATTCGTTATGCTCTGTTTCACGTGCTGATGTTCCAAGATCTTGCGACGAAACAAGGGCCAACATTTGTTTAGAAGACTTTGGGTCTTTTACATACTTTGCAACAAAAAACTCTGATGTTTGCGGGTAAATATCAATATATCTTGTATTAAACGTATGAATTTAAAAATAAGATATATTTTGCATTTCTTTTTGTATTTAAAGATAACTTATTTTCTAAATAAGTTTAATGTAGTTGGATGTCGATTTTCAAAATTTTACAAATCTTTTGTATCTAATGGAATGGCGATTGAGAAAAATATAACACAAAAAAGTATATTCACGGTTTTAAGGCCAGTATTACAAAAGAATGAATTACAATCATAAGACACTGCAAAGGTAAATGATATTACATGTCCTATAAGTCAATTTCTTTTTGTGCTATAACAACAAATATGTTAATGTAATGCTAAAGGAACTCCAAAGGAAACGTACGCCAAAATGCCCTTCTATCTTTATCATTACTTGTTTAAATAAATTACACCTTAGCATACTTCTATTCACAGCAAGCTTGAAGATACGTATAACTGTCTAATGGAAAGCACAACCGGATGTGACGAGTCAACCCATAATGCATTACTGCAGGAAGTTAAGACAATGCATAGCATGTTGGGTAATGTGACGTGCCCAAAGATGCAATGGTGTACGACAGTAAACGCCACAGACTTATTTCCATGGCAACGAGAGATTTGTTCAGAATGGAACAAATGTCTAATATTTGATTGGATGTCATGCGTGGACCAATTCAACTTACAATTTAGTTGCCAGTATGCCTTTTAATCATTATTTAATTATTAAATGATGAAACAACATATGACTCTTTTAAGAACATTCAAATTGAAAAAAGTTTTAAACAAGAGTAAATATTTATATTATTGTATTAAAGGCCCATTAAGTCTCAGAAAATCTAATAATTATATTTTACAGAAGCTTTATATTTTGTCATGTAACAGTTTTCAAAAATGTGCTCAGTGACCAGAAAGCTGGCCTATTATTTGCTTCTTTTGCATTTCTGCAAATTTTAAGGTTTTAGTTATTATGCATTTTAAGTGTAGAGTCAAAATACTAATTTGTTTTAATTTTGTTTCATTCATCACGTTTTATTTCAAATATGATACTATTTTCTCCAGGTGATAAGCATCTTACATGTTCTAAATCCATTATTACAATAATCTTATGCTCACACATATTTGCTCTTTTCACCAGAAGGAAAAAAATCATTTCTGAGTCTCGATGTACCTTTAATTTTTATTTATAAATCGCAAAGGAAGCTATGCAATAGATATAAATACATTTAATACTTATCGATATTTCTTATAATTTAAAATATATAAATTATGCAATAAAAATAACTGTTTATTTACTTATTCAGATCTAGCACTGAAGGTATAGATTGTATAGAACAAAAGTTGTCATCTTGTGACCCGCTCCAGATCCTCTTAGCCAAGTCAGAGATATCTGCGTGGGTTCAACAGAATTCAGCGTGCAATGTTGTACCCAGTGACCCACCGGCTGTGACACAAGTGTACAGAAATATATATGAATGTTCATCATACATTTCCATGGCAACCGAAATATCAAAGGTATACAACTTGGCAAACATTAATTTGTTGTTGTTGTTGTTGTTATGTATATTCAACTTTGTACCATTTTTTAAATTCATAAGTTTTAAGCAAATTATACGATTTTGCTCTAGAAAATAGGACTGGTTGAATTCAAAGGTCATTGTTGCAAATTATGAAATATTAATTTTCACTTAATGACACTAAGTCTTGTACTTTTTAGAAAAATGGTCAGAAATTCGAATACACGTAACATTGTATTTAATAATAATAATAATTTCATTACAGAAGGTAACACATTAGAACATATAAAGATTTGTAACTCCTTTTAAACATCGTATCAATCAAGAAAATATATCATGTAAAAAAAATTGCAATCTCAATGTAAACATATATTTTAACACATATTCTGAACATTCATAAAATTTATTGTATCAGTAACTATCATTAAACATAATTACTGTCTTGAGTGCAACATTTCTATCTGAATTAATTAATTAGGTTTTTGCTGTTCAGGAGAGACAACTACTAATACAAATTGAATATAGTTCTTCACCATTTATTCATTATGTATGTAAATAATCTACTTGAAATATGCAGAAACTCTCAATATCAATTAATGTCATTCACGAACATTTTAGAAGGTATAAAGCTTAATCTTATGAAATATATCTTTATATATATATATATATATAATTATATAAACGGTACAAATTTGTTGTTCACATAGCCTAATGGTTGATTCTTGAAAGACTTGTTACATATAGTGTCCCTGTAATTCAAAGGTGACAGAAGGTGACACGTGGCAAAGTATCTAACAAGCTACACATAGAAAAAAACAGAATAAAATGTTCCGGAACAAAATATTCTTATTCTTTTCTAAATACGGTTAAAACCATACAAAAAATGGGTGTGTGCATATGCTATGCGCTGTCATTTTAAGCACATATACAAACATTCTTTCTTCATACAAGAATCTTGAAATTATTTCTTTTCAAATTCAAACAATAATTTTGTAAAGTAAAAGCATCAGATTTATAAGTTTTAAACACTATTTTAAAGCTGTCCTAAAGTTGTAGCAAATTATGTGTACTGTGATCAAAGAGTACATAAACGTATCTAGCTGTCCTAATGTTAAAGTAATTCCTGTGTACTTTGATCAAAGAATACATAAACATGTCTGGCTGTCCTAATGTTAAAGCAAGTCCTGTGTGTACTTTGATCAAAGAATACATCAACGTATATTTTTGCCTATTTTAGCAAGCGCTGTGTTTTATGATAAACCAATACATCAATTGCCTGGCCAGCTTGGATCAGTCCGAAGTACGACGTGTTTGGAAAAGGTTTCCCCTTGAGGGAAGGGCCAACTGTGGGGGAAAAGGGGCTGTAAAATGGACGTAAATTTCTAGGGGGTTTTTTCAAGTTATTTGTGAAAAAAACCCCGGGTTTGTAATAACCCATACATTTAAATGCAAATCCCGGTAAAAAATTCTTTTGGGATTTTAAAATTTTTAAATGTGAATCGCCTAAAGGGCGATTCGTTTTATAGTATGAAAATTAATGTTTTGACATTTTTTTTGAAAACTAAAATTTTGATACTTAATGAAATTTTTTTCATTTTAATTACTTTTTATAAAAATAACGTTAAACAGAGAATCATTTCACGTTTTAAAATGGTCAATAAAACCCGTGTTTTGTAAAAAAAGGGAAAATTTTTACAAAAAATTTTAATTTTGTTTTTTTCCCAAATAAGATAGCACTGTGTTAGCACATGATCACTTTTGTGTTTATTTATACACTGCATCTAAGACTTTAGAAATCGATCTGCGTACGTATTTGAGAAGAAACTGATGTTTAATTTAACGATTTTCACGAATTTTCATTGAGATAAAAGATAAATACTGATTCGTATTGTTTTGTGATAATAAGTGTATATATGAATTTCTTTTCTTTTTCTTAGGTTCTGACAACTTCATTGTCGGACAAGACTTTGACCTGGCCAGTAAGATCTCTTTTTGTTTTACTACATTTTATATAAAGATTTTAGCTTTGTGTCTTCAATACTTTCTTTTAGAACATGCATACGGAATATTTCAAACATAACATTGCCTTACTTCTTTTTGGTAATCCGTATGGTTCTTTTTCAGTAAGAATAAATTTAAACTATGTATTTAAATCTAGTTTGTTTCTGCCAAGATTTTCTTGCGTTTTAGATATTATCTTGTTTTCTTGTTACTTATATAAAATTATTGAGATACTTATATACATATTATATTATAAAAGCATAATTTAATTTATGTTAACATGACACAAAATATGTTACAGGCATAACGGGACAATTTTGTTTAGAAGAAAGTCAGTATTGCTTGCGCTCTTTCACAAGCTTAGCCTTGACCTACTTTCATATTGTGCCATTGAGTGAACGACAAGAAACAGTTTGTGAGAGGTATTGTTGATTTAGTTGTTGTTAGTTGTGTTTTATCACCGGTCTTAGAAATTGCCTAACCTGTATCTTTTGCAAGAACATTTTCTTAAGTTTTAATACAACATTAGTGTGCATAATGTAACATGCGTTTACACATGGTACAAAAAAGAGACGGAAGTGTCACAACTAAACTGTAAAATAAAACACATACAAAGTAAACATGAATTCGAGTTTAATACAACATTTGATGTAAATACTAGAGAGATATTATACCATATAAATCCATTGCATCCAGAAGCATTTTTTTTCCAAATAAATTTTTTTTTTACAAAACCATTATTCTATATTTTTAACCAAGAGCTAAGGCTCAATACGATTGTGTAATGGAACAAGCGGCAGGTTGCCTGGATCAAACGGACAGATATTTGATGACAAGTGCAGAATGGATACGGGAAGGACTGGATAATGTTGGGACTTGCTCTAGTAACAATAACGTTGCTAGAGAATGTAGTCCGGAGCTAGCAATGAAATGTATTGCCGACCTTGGCCAAATATTAATTGAAGATATGGAATCCACGTCGGTCGATGTAGTGTGTTCGTAAGTAAAATATAACATTTTCGCACTGCCTTTCCGTAATTATTATAATAGTTAATATTTATGTTAAAAATCAGAGGTGCATTAATTAGAGTTTTGGCTTGAACTGTGTCATCGAAAATAATTTGTAAATCCATTCAGGATACATGTATATGACTGCTTTTGATGAATCTAGAAATAAAAAGTTTTCTGCTGAAATTTATCGGATGTAAAATAGTGATTGAAACTTTCTTGAAACATTATAATTCACCTGGCATTTTATTTGATTGCGTTTGCAACTGATACGTTTCGATGTAATCTTGATATCTCAAGTTTGTATGTATATGCATGATAAGTTTATTTTTACCATATCTTGCCTTGTAGAAAATTGCACTTGACAACATTATGTGTTAACCAAAGAACAAGTAGCTGCGACTATTACATAAGAGCTGATGTGAGTAAAACTTTCAACCAGATATCCGCCATTATAAAGGATGTTTGTACCCCTTCACCGCCTACAGCGCCATCTACATCATGTCTTCCACAAGGGGAAATTATTCAGTGTGACTTGGAAGAAGCTCTGATATGCATGGTCCCTGTTCAAGCGATGTTGTTACATCCGAATTCGACATGGGAACAGGTTTGCAGGCAAGCTATTTATGTCATTAAAATTTTAAATATTTTGAAATATTGCTCAGGTTATCATAGATGCACAGACATTTACCTTTTCTCCTACTTCATTTGAAATTTGCAACTTAGACAAGAGGGCTTTATGAGAACTGCTTTTTATGCTCCCCGAAAAATTTCGGGGGAGCATATAGTCGGCGCCTTGTCCGTCTGTCCGTCCGTCCGTCTGTCCGTCCGTTTTCTTGTCCGGAGCATAACTTGAAAACCCTTGGAGATAATTTGTTTAAACTTCATACAGTGGTAGAGGGCATTGAGGGGGAGTGGCAGTGTTAAAGAAACCATAACTCTATTTTGCCCGGTTTTTGAATTATCTCCCCTTATAGAAAATCTTGTCCGGGCATAACTCTAAAACTATAAGAGATATCAACATGAAACTTTATAGGTGAATAGATCTCAATGGGTAGATGTGCAGTGCATAAGAGAAATAACTCTTTTGTTCCTAATTTTGGAGTTATTCCCCTTTGTTAATTTCAACACTTTGAACTTTGTCCGGAACATAACTCTAAAACCATAAGAGATATCAAGATGAAAACATTGTAGGTAGATAGATCTCATTGAGTAGAAGTGCAGTGCAAAAACCATAACTCAAGTTAAGCCTCATTTTTTGAATTATCTCCCTTATAGAAAAATCTTGTCCGGGGCATAACTCTAAAACTATAAGAGATATCAACATGAAACTTTGTAGGTGAATAGATCTCAATGGGTAGATGTGCAGTGCATAAGACAATAACTCTTTTTGTCCTAATTTTGGAGTTATTGCTCTTTGTTAATTTCAACACTTTGAACTTTGTCCGGAACATAACTCTTAAACTATAAGAGATATCAAGATGAAACATTGTAGGTAGATAGATCTCATTGAGTAGAAGTGCAGTGCAAAAACCATAACTCTGTTAAGCCTCATTTTTGAATTATCTCCCCTTATAGAAAAATCTTGTCCGGGGCATAACTCTAAAACTATAAGAGATATCAACATGAAACTCTGTAGGTGAATAGATCTCAATGTGTAGATGTGCAGTGCATAGAAACAATAACTCTTTTTGTCCTAATTTTGGAGTTATTGGCCTTTGTTAATTTCAACACTTTGAACTTTGTCCGGAACATAACTCTAAAACTATAAGAGATATCAAGATAAAACATTGTAGGTAGATAGATCTCATTGAGCAGAAGTGCAGTGCAAAAAAAACCCATAACTCTGTTAAGCCTCATTTTTGAATTATCTCCCCTTTTAGAAAAATCTTGTACTGGACATAGCTGTAAAACTATAAGAGATATCAACATGAAACTTTGTAGATAGATGTATCTCAATGGGTAGATGTGCAGTTTACAAGAATCATAACTCTGCCTTGCCTAATTCCTGAGTTATTGCCATTTGTTTATTTTTACTTTTTGAATTTGTCCGGAACATAACTCGAAAACCATAAGAGATATCAACAAGAAACTTTGTAAGTTGATAGATAACAGTGATTAGAAGTGCAGTGGAAAGAACAGTAACTCTGCCTTTCCTAATTTTGGAATTATTGCACTTTGAACTTTTTCCAGGGACATAACTCTGAAACTACAAGAGGTGTACTTTCCTGTGTCCAAAACCTATTCGGGGAGCATCACCCCGCTCAAACCGGGCTCTTGTTGTTCTTGTTCTCATCAATGCAACATACAAGGAAATGTGTGTACAGATAAAGATGTTGAGGAAGAATTTCATGTAATTAAGTTAATAAATCTAAGTGGCTGATTGTGCAATATCGCTTCATCATCAGACATACTAGTATTACTTTTCTGAAACACATGATCATTAATTTTGTTGTCCCAAATTATACAAAATATTTTTGACATTATTTGATACTTATGTATAGGCTAATACAAGTATTAGGATTTGGTCGATCGATGCAAATATAGAGATATCCAAACACTGTAAAAAGATATTTGCAGTCCTTTAAGGGTGACGACACGGTTGATCTTTTTATATTCAAAGTTGAGAAGGCAGCTGATACGACTAATGTTTGCAATTCAAGAAAATAAGTTTATGACTGTAAAATATTCGTATTTTTTAAGAACGGGGATGAATTTTGATTCTTTTCAAAGGGAAATACCAGAAATGAAAGCATGTGTACACAGAGCTACCAGTGGATGTGATCAGGTGACACTGGGCATAGTATCTAACAAGCTTCACAGATTGAGTCACAAACTGAATGACCAGTGTCCGCAGATATACTGTGAGGAATGTTTGGCCAGGTCATGTATTGTAAACCTTCAGAGGAGTCTTCAGTATGAAAATGCTAGTATATGTGGGTAGGTATTTATTATAAGAGCGTTCTGAGCTTTTCAAAAAAAAAAGGAAAAACAACAAAAATAAAGGCAATAATAAGGGCAAAAATAATGCAAACAAACTTTACAAGAAACCAACATACAAATACTTGCATTTTTTTCATTTTCAACTATTATTTTTTTCTAAAAAATATAATGTCAAATGTATTGGCATAGTCATCAAACACAATTGCCATTGGTCATTTACAAAAGCATGCATGTGAAGTTTGACCAAGACAAACTATACCATATAAGAATTCCAAATTATAATGATTTAGTAAATGATTTAATAAAATGATATGATTCATGAAACAACTACATTTTCACGAGAATGGTTGCGTATTTCTTTCTTTTTCTTTTATTTTGTATAATAACGGCAAATTTGATAGTTTACAGATTAATGAACATATAAGGGCATTAAAGCAATAAAAGAATATTGAGGGCCAAGAATTATGACGAATATACGAATGTGAGAACATTTAATACAGACAAGCAATAACATAATTTTTATAATAATACATAAGCAAGAGTATTTGCTTACATCATCATAAATATATTTCTTGCAGGTCCATAGCAGCAGCAAAGCAATGTATATATCAGCATGCAGGTTATTGCGACCCGTCCGTTGGTGAAAGTTTACTTCGGGAAATACCGCTGTTAATTGGGAATGACGCTTATCTTTGTGAAATAACCTTGCCTTCATGCCTACAAAACTTTATGATGACTGGTAAGAGCTTTAAATTAATATATATCCCAATCAATAACAGATCTACACAGTCATGGAGAGCACCGACATCGCGCTATGTTCTCTCACGTCCATAAAACGCGCAAAAAGAAATTGTCATAAATAAATTAAAGATAATTTTATCAATGAGATAATATTGATTCCTTTATTAATGATAATATTTGTGTCTTCCGTTGTGTTGGGGAAATGATTCGACTAATTGCTTCGGTTTTGATTTTATTTACTCATTATCAAGTAAATATGCTGAATGGCTTTTAAAGTTTCCATTAAATAACAAAAGCCATAAATCTAATTATGCTTATCAGACCGAATTTTCATAATGTATTTGCCTGTATCCAGCATGTTTATACTGGTTTTAGAAGTTTTTGTCAGTTATTTTTCCTTAAGATAAAAATATTTCAGTATTTCTTTAGATAATAAAGATTATTTTTTTCTTTAGATAAAAAATGATTATTTTTTTCTTTAGATAAAAAATGATTATAATTTCTTAATATAAAAATATTCATTTTTTTCTTTAGAATCAGTATGATTATTCTTTCTTGAGTTAAAAAACATGATTCATTTTATTCTTATTTACTCCCCGATTCAATACGTAATGTCTAAAATAAGGTTGAATATGCAATTTATTCCACACATACCTTTATTATTCTGTAACGAGTTCAACAATTTCTTATTTTTCAGCGTACCAAATCACTAACTATATGCCGATGACAAATATGTCAAATGATTATGTGTTAACACAAATGTGTAATGAGGCTACTGCAGCATTTTACTGTATCAATACACATATGACATCATTCGAAGGTCAAAGACTAGATGTCATGAATTCAACCCAACAGCAGATTGGCAAGATTGTGTACGGGAAATGCCAAGGTATTGTGAAATAATTTCGTTCACTGAAAAGAAGCCATGGCATAACTCATTAATTCACTATAATTAGTTTGATCTTTTAAACACCCTGAAATGTTGCTTATAGATTGTCTTCACATGTTTTTTTGTGGAAGATATTTATTTTAGAAGCCCCATTCCCCTAAATAATAACTTTAAAAATTTGCTGTCCGTTCAGTTCTTCATAAGTTTTTTTGTTCTTGTGTTTGTGTGTGTGTAAATATAAGATTTCAATACGTTTTTCTCATTTCTTAACACCGACTTGTTTTTTAGACCTGTCCTTTAGATTAAATTGATCTGAAACAGCATGGTTGATAATTTTTTGCAAATTTGTAAAAAATTGATGCTATACACCAACTTTCCAAAGCACGGTGAAAACAAATAGCAGCAATGTAATATAAATATTGCATACAACTACATGTATATTTTACAAAACTTTATTTTATAAAATTCATATATTTGCTATGCTTAAAGGTCCACAGTTACAGTGTTACAGTTGTGTTAATGCTACGTCAAACGAGGATTGTAATCAACAAAGAGTTCAAACTTGTTCCCCAGATATGCAGGTATAAAATTCAACTCGTTTGCTGTACTCAAAATATGATACATATGTTACTTACGAATGAAAGTGATTCATAAAAAAACAATTTTAAATTAAATGTTCGGTAAACATCGATTCTTTCCGACTAGAGTTCAGATCCACGGAGCGTTTATTAGACGAAGATCCATGGAGCGTTCATAAGGCGCTGATTTAAGTTTTGGATCGTTCTTATGTAATAATTATGATTTTTATTGTGAAATATATATTCATTCAACTACAGGAATATCAAAATAAATTCATCATTTCAATAAGGTGTCTTTATAGATTTTTTTGCAATTTTATTAAAACGTTCTCGCGTATCGTTTGTAAGGGGACACTTACCGATATGATATGATGTTACACGAAATTTTCAAATAAAAAAGTGAGCGCAACACCTAATTTTGTACGTTTCGCGTCTTTTCTTTTATTCTTTAATGATATGATAATTTATGTGTCTTTTTCTAAATTTTTTTCACAGATGTGCGGCACTGTTTTCACGGGAACTGTACTGAATAAAGGCTGTGTTAAACCGGACCTTTGTCAGAATGGATGCAATGGAGTATTGTGTTCCATGTGCTGTGGAACAAGTCTTTGCAATCAACCGTGGAATGACGTCATATTAGGTAATATATTTCATACGTTTAAATTGCCTTACTAAAATGTAGTTGGCAAGGAATTTTTAGAATGGGAATATTGCCAGAACAAGATTTTATGCTGTTTTAAAATTAATCATTTTTTTAATTAACACATCGCCTTATTGATACACCAAAGAAAATCACTTGTGTATGATAATTGTCATGGGAACCGCATTTTTTTCCAAACGAAGCAACGTTTTTTCCGAGAATTTATAAAAAAAAAACGCAGCAAAAGGAAAACAAATGTAATTTTTCTCATAAATTTAAACTAATGTAAGGTTTAGGATCTAAGTAATGACACCTGATATATGTAATATGTTATGATGAACAATGAAATATATGATTTATATCTTTACTTCCCTTAAAGATGAGACATTGTTATATTTTTATAATCATTATATTCTTTGTTTGCAGAGTCCCCTACTTGTCAACCGGAAGCAGCGATGTATTGTGGTTTTCAGATGATCTCTTCTTTAGTGCAAAATGAAACAATTAATTGTTTGTGAGTGTGACGCAGATTTTGACTTCGTTTTCATTTCATGTAGAAGAAACTTTGAACTAAACATCATGTCGAAGCCTGATTTACCGATTTATTGTGATACAAGCGTTTAGTGTAGTTGTCTTTCAAATGCTGATTAAAATGACTTCTTTGTTTTTTTTTTGTTCTTTTAAACCTGCATGGAGTTTTTGTTCATTGCTTTTTGTTAAAAAAAGTTTTAAACAAAACCAAATAAAAAACAAGCAAAAAACAAAAAAACACCACACCAACAGAAATTTTAATTTTGTATTGGTCTAGTCATTTTAAAGAAATAAAATAGATTGAAAGGAATCTCCGAATATGTGGGATATGGCGTAAATAAGTCGCCAGAGTTATTACATTTTAATTATATCTGCACTCAATTATTATATCATTGTTATTAACTCCTGCCTACTTTTATTTAATCATGATTACATACAAACAATTGCAGGCACCTTCAGGAGCATATTTCTTGTATGATACAGTCAACACAAGATTGCACGTCCTCTCAAAACATGGCTCTTGGTATTCATGCGCGTGACCTTCTTGCAAGAGATGTCATGTCCACGTGTCTGGAAAGTAGCCCAGTATGCGGATGTGGACAATGCAGTTCTATGCTCCTCCTGTCCGTGGTTGCAAGTCCTTTTGGAAATGTCGATGGATTTTGCAAGTACGAAGCGAAGTATTTTCTAGTGATGAACTTAACCGCTAAAATTAACTTGTATCTGTTTATGTAAATTGAAGCAAACATGTTATAGAATAGTCATCAAGTAATATTAACATCATTATGTCGAACACCTGATACATTATATATTTTAAATATTTTAAAAGACCAACACAAAGTGAAGAATTGATGAACTGATAGGTACATGTTATTTCATTCACCTTTCGGCATTTTTTATGAAAGAACACAAAATATCTTTTAAGGTTTCATGAATGTTGCTTTATTTACATATTTTTTGTTACCTTATCGTACAGTATTATGACTGAACACTTTGCCGTGAGTTTGTCATTAAAATAAATGGTTCATTTCTGCGGGATAGAAGGGTTTTGTTGACCAACATAAACCTGTAACGTTCACCCCTTTTCAAATTATGTTTTATTATTCAATCTTTTTATGTTTAATAGAAATATAATGCAGCATAAATGTTAAAATTGTATTGAGGACCGGCCCTTAAAATAAAGACAACTCTGTAAATAAAAGAAGCCTCTTTTCGACAACCCTTTATTGATTAAACAGATCAGAACAGAATGGCTTCAAAATAAAGAATTACAGTCTATAAAGGCCGTACACTGTCTCTCCTTTGTATACAGGTTTGACTGTATTGCTATATACTTAAAAATGCTATCAATAAAATTATTCAGGACAGTGTTAGAAATGTATGAGAGGACGCTGAAGGAGATGGACCTTACAAATTGTAGTACAGGCCATATACAGTCTACTGCTTATAACGTACAGATGGCAGCTTATATGATACAGGGAATTTGTTATTTAGATAACATCGGTATGGATGGTACCTTATTTTATTTATTGTACAGAAACGAGTGCAAAAAAAAAAACTGGTAAAAACCTGACGTTATGAAAGATGACACCATGCACTGGTTAAATCATTCGTTTAACAGTTATATAGTGAACTAGTTTAGAAAGCATATTGTCGAAGACGCTTTTGATCTTAAATTAAATAAAGATCTAGTGAAATTAATTGATACTTGACTCAACACAATGACTGTTATTATACATAAGCCTAATGTAAGCAGTTACCCTCGAGCTAGATCTATATTCCGATCTGTAGCGCAGCCGGTGTAAGATTCCTTAAGTCTAGGGTGAACATTTCGTTCTATCACAGTCGATGGGATATGATACTTATGAATACATTATAGGTCTATACGTGATAGGACTATATTCAGTACATATATTTACTACTAGTGCGTAATATTTTGAGTATTTTTTTAACCTTGTTAATGCCTGTTGTCACTTATTTTTATAGATGTCTATATAAATGTCCGTGTATGCCACACAATTATCCATGATATAACTGCTATTACAGTATACTCTAATATTTCGAATTTTATTATAAATTTCAGATAATAGAACTTGTAACCATGGTTATATGGTATATAGCCATGGAGAAACATTCATGGCGGATGATGGTTGTAATTATTGCACTTGTGACAGAGGAAATATTGGGTGCACACTTATGTACTGCCCACCAGGTATCCCACTTTATATGTACATAGTCCGTGCTCATTTATTACAACCTACTTGGCACTTTTTTCAAATAATGTGCTGTCAAATTTGTATTACTATAGACTTGAAATATGTACTCGTACATGTATACTTTTGAAATACTGTTATTGTAAAAAAAGGTGCATTTAAACAATGCGATGTTAAATATTACAATAAACATAGTAGGCAAAATCATTTCTTTATCGAAGAACACCAATATGGCTAAGAAAAATATATGTATACATGAACATGAACATTGTGAATGAAGTTTGCTACAACACTGCAATTGTTTACGTAAGCAAAACATGGTAAATCCATAACTATTTCTGAGTAAATTTTATAGACTTTTCATGTCATAAGAAAATCGTTCTCATGGTTATTTCATTGAGGTATCTGATCAAGAAATTTAGTGGTGTCTTTTGTTTTAAAATACATTGAAATTACACGTTTGTTATATAAATTGTCTTTAAGCAGTTAGTATTTACAATCTTTGCTTATATTTTGATATATCTTATGCATGGTAAATTTATATTTAGAAATTTGAGAAAATGACCTAAAAAAAAAAACAACAACACAACATCAACAAAAAAACAACACCAAATTGATTGATTTCATGTAAATCTTATAAACTAAAAAAGTCATTAGATCGTGACTTCAGCTAACAGTAAAGAAGTTACAACAAATATATTTTCAAAAGAATACCTTAGCTGAGCTATATTTACTCAATTTGATTTTTTAAATTCGCTTCAGACCATAATCAGCAATGCCCGGATATTGACCCAGATCAAGCCGGTGTTTGTATAGAAATGTGCCGTGCAGATAATGACTGCTACAACGGACAGATATGTTGTAGTAATGGGTGTGGTCATGTTTGTTCCGACCCAAAACCTCAAGGTAATGTAGCAGGGGTGAGACAATAAAAGGTCGAATAATACAACTTTTTTAAGTTCTAAAAAAAAGATATTATTTATACATGTTAAACTAATATGTTAAGTAGTCTGTAAATTATCATATATCCCTCGAATTAAATTAAAACAAAAAAACAAAAAAATAGTTGACAATTTCTGTCTGACTTATTACTGAGTCTGCGCAAGACAAATAATGGAAAGTGTAACATTTTTCAAGCCCCTAGCATTGGCGTAACGTAGTTTCAAAGATCCCAAAGGACAAGAAAATACAACAGCTCTGAAGTTGTTTTTTTTTTTGTTTTTGTTTTTTTTTTTTCAAAAAAAACAAAAAAACTATCATTGTTATTTCTAGTATAATTGTTTCTCAGAAAATATTCAAAACAGTATGCATGAATTCATAGCCATGAAAAAAACAATTACAATATCCCAAGATCTTATTGTTATAAATTCAAAGTTTACACAAACATTCTCGCGCGAATTCAAATAACCATACGTCCTTTCTCCCGGAAACATTTTGAACTTTTCTTATTTCAGGAACAGACAGTTGTAAGCATGGTAATAGTTCCTTCTCAACAGGCGACAGTTTTCCTGCATCAGATGGTTGTAATTTCTGTTATTGCTATAATGGAATGATCAGTTGCACGGAAATGTATTGTCCTTCAGGTACAAAACTATCACTTTAGAAACTAATTCTTGGTCTCAGTCCTTGTTTTTTGTTGTTTTTTTTTTGAGGGGGGGGGGATATATGCGCTGCTTCGAATATTTGAATTGTGATTACAATATCAAATTAAAATTCAAAATTAAAATCGAGTAGATACCAGACTGATACTTGATTACGGATGAGTAAAACCAAATATATGAACAACTATTTTATGACCATAGTTCAATGATATATAGGCATATTCTTTCTCGGGCAAATGTTTGGACAAAAAACCACCACAAAATGTGACCTGACAAATGAAATTCGAGACTTATCTGATCTCATATAAAAAGTTTTACATCCTTGTGGTTTACCTATCCGTTGAAAATATGTACATTATTGCTGATTGTTTTATTTGGGTTAAATGTTATTTGTTGACCTACTAAGCTCCATGCGGTGGTTGTATGTTGCTGGTCGCGCGGGAGTTGCGTTTATTGAACGCCGCCCTTTCTTGTTGATCTTGTTTTTCAAATTTCCCTCGTGATTTAGTGATTTATTTCAGACATCCTTTTATTTGTTATTTTTACATACGTAATTTTGTTATAATTTGCCATCACTTGTTTTCTTTTACAGTAAATGAAAGTTGCTGGTATAATGGCAGACGATATAACAATGGCGATTCCTTCCAAGCAGACGATGGCTGTAACTCATGTTTTTGTAGTAAAGGAAACGTTGCCTGTACATTGATGTTATGTCCCCCAGGTATGCTTCAAATTTCATGCATTTCACCGAAAATTTTTATTTATGAACATATGATAATTGTAAAGTATGTATCACTTATAAACTTAAGTGGAATTTCTGTGATATCATAGACAGCACAATCAGTTTAAGTAAGCTAGTTATTAATTGTATAATGATTGGTAGATACTTTATAATTATTTAGTCTGCAATAGTCTGTGACAATTTGCACTTGATTGGTGAGTATTCTAACATCCTGTTACTCAATTTTTTATGTTTTATATCATAAATATATGCTCAAATGAAGATTTATCAATATTGTAAGTTCCAAAAAAGCATCGTTTGTTAAGATATTACCGAATTTACATTTTCATGTTAATAAATTTATTTTCTATAAAGTCTAAGTAAATTTTTTTTCAATAAGAAATGAATGCATATGTTTTAATGATTACCTATAATGTGGACAAATATTTGCCGTACATAGTTTACATATCCTTCAATGTTTGAAAATTGTTTTATAAGCATAATTATATACATATAAAAAATTTCACTTAAGTGTGGTAACAACCTTAATTACAACATACAGGATCACTACATTTGCAATAAAAATGAACACATCAATACACATATTTAACCTCATTTTACATTTTTATTTTTCAAATTTTGTAATGTATAAATAAATAAAATTGTGTTGAAGGATTACAAAAACTAAGATTTTGTATAACGAGACAAATGTTTGATGTAGAATACATAAAGGTACATTAGAAAAATAGTTTTTCATATTATATCAATTGTCCACAAAATGTTTCTATACCAAACGACCCACAGGTGTTTAATTCTTTATTAATATACAAACATAAATTGGTATATTTTTCATCTTTTTGTTAATCGATAATTGTTATCTTAACCTTTGTCATTTGATGAAAATGGATACACACACTGGACATCGAGATATTAAAAGCACAAGGCTGTTTTTTTAGTTGCAGACGATAAGGACTGTTTGTATAACGGAGCCAAGTATTTTTCTGGAGACAATTTCCTTGCCGCAGACGGTTGCAACCATTGCTTTTGCAATAATGGGACGGTTAGCTGCACATTAATGTACTGTCCTAAAGGTATATTCGAAAGACAACCTTCTCTTTAGAATATTTAAGGTCTTGATTGCAAAAATTTCAAATAATTCCAAAAAAAAACTGCACGCTTGTAACGTCTTTTTTCAATGGATAATCGTGACGTTTATATAATCTATATACACGGGTGCAGTCGATTTATATATATAATTCTTTTTTTCTGCAATAAAGGACCTATAACTTGCAAAAAATCTTAATAACTAATAATATACAGTGTATTTCTTTTACACATTTATAAGAATTATATTATCGCGTAGGAACTATTCTAATGATTTTTTCATTCTTTTCTTTTCTGAATTCTGTATGTCATGTGCAAATTCTATTTTTAGTTTCATATTTCTCATTGCAGAAGATGTTTGCGATGTTTTGGGGGTACAGCAATGTATTAATGATGCGTCTCTTCCGTATCTTGTATCCATGGCAACGGGATCAAAGTCAAGACACGTATGTTTGTAAGTACACAAAGTTCTGCACATATAAGTTCATATTGCACTTTCTACATATTTGTAGTTTTTTTTATAATGAAAATTATTATAAAAGTAATTGTGTCAAATTTTATATATTAATTATGCAACAAAATATTTGCTAAAACAACTTCACTGTTTAGGTCGGCAGTAAATCTTCTAAAATGTGCGGATTCAAAAGTGAAAGGCTGCCCGACAACTGTGCTGGAAATCGCTCACAACGCTGTATGGTGGAATATACAATCTGTTCAATATATCTGTGACGTCAATGACCTTATATGGTCATTCCATAATGGCGGATGGCAAACGAATACGACAGAGCTCGACACAACCGGAAAATGTTCCATTCAAAACGCTGTGAAATGTTTTGTTAACATTGACGAAACCTGCGAGTAAGTTTTTCGAAAGAAGTCTGTCTGTTATCAGTTTGACTTCCTGTAAAATGAACAGGGAAGGATTGAATATGAGAAAAAAATTTAATGGTCATTTTAAAATTGAAAACTGAAGTCGGTGAATCTCATTGGTCATACTAGAATAAAATGTAAAGGACAGTTCCAACCATTCTAAAATAAAATGTAAAGGATAGTTCTTACCATTCTAAAAATAATAAATGATAGCTATAATATAAAATGTAAAGAATAGTTTTGCCACTATTAAATGAATTGAAAGGATAGTTATAAAATAAAATGTATAGGGATGAGTATAATTCTTTAACTTTTAGGTTAATTTGTAAATGATTACAAAATATATAAAGTCAAACGTGAAACCAGGGACATTTTAAATAGAAGTTGTCCTATTTTGAAAAATCATCAATATCAATATGCTTTATAATTTAATTTCAAAGTTTACAAAATTGGTATTTCCCTACAAAAAAATGATTATTACATCATTACTATGCAAGCATTGCTAACATTTCTTTTTTGTATTGAAAACTTAGAAATTACATAATTTTGCACGTTAACCAGTTTTACCTCGGCCGAGTATCTTCTTTAAAGGTACTTCTCGTTTTCATTCCATACAAGTGATAGTTTCTAACTTGTCCAAATGTTTGTATGTTTATCAAATAGTAAGTTGTTTGTAGATATGGTCATAGATAAGTACGATAGGCCCAAAAATGATTTTCAAACACTGATTTGGAGTTTGATGCCGTAAAGTCTATTTCAGGTTTTTTTCAAGTATGAAAAATAAACTGGCATGTATATTCTATTAAAGTTTATTTAATATTATACGATTTTATTTTCGTTTTATTTTCTTCTAGCTCTTATCAGACGATGGTAGACTGTGTCTATGATTTCTCGACTGGTTGTTTGTCGGTAGACATGGTACCAGTCTTGTTCGAACTTGAGCGCCATCTAGAAGAAAATATTGCAGACTGCGATCTTGTAATACCAGAACAAAATGTTGACCCTTTCCATCCCATTGGTAATGATGTACTCTTATTAAATGAAATATGTATGCAAAAAAAATTGAGCTATTTTGTTTTATTGTTGTGCAAATGTTCTTTGGTTTAAACAATATCTATAATTATAATATGTATAACACGATATTACAATACATATAAATTATAAATCAGGATTGGGAAGAGAGCTTCAATGCTATATAAATTATCTCCTGAAATTGTGTTTTAAAGGAACTCGACTGTGGTCAAAAATCCTAAAAACTAAAAAAATTAACCTAAACTAACATAGGTCATCTTTGGCACCTAAAACAGAAAGATATGCAACAGATAATTAAAAGATAAACTCATAAGTATATTGAAAATCTATGTGATATTCTTTTACCCGCCCGATTTGAATGAAAAGCGTTGCAACGCTTTTCAATTTTAGGTAATTTTTCACAATTTGAATAAATATTCTGAAACAAAATCGGAGTGAGCGAATGGTCTAAAATTTTGTACTCATTATAGTTTATTGGTGTTAACCTGCAACAAATGGAAATATTATCTAAAATAAGTCCCGCCATGCCAAAAAAAACAACAACAACAAAAAAAAAAACAAACAAACTTAAGAGACCCGTAAAGCATTAAAGTTTATGAAAAATATAAATCTATGAAGTGTCTTTATACCAATGCCTCAGAATATTTTAATGACATTTTTCGTTCAAACCATTTAGTGAATACAATCATATTAATCTGAGATATTTCAAATAAATAAAACATGAAAACTTGCGATAAAAATGTGATTAATAGCTCACTGATGGTTAATTTTCAAATATAATATCATATATTTCAGCTCAATGTTTGGCAGATTTTGGCAGCACTTTGAACAGCGAGCTGACCGTTGCATATTTACAAAGTGGGAAACTCGGACGTGTTTGCGATAGCATTGCTACACTAATTTACTGTGTTCACAACATAACATATACCCAACCTGACGGGAAACTCTTGACTCAAAACCTTATTGGAATGCTATCTAATATATTTAAGCAATGTAATGAATTGGAAGACCATATCATGGAAGGTATAGTTTCAAACTTGTAATTCTTAAAATCACTTTTAGTTATCTTGTGGTTCTTGATGTATTTCCCTTTAGGCAGGTACATGTCTGTTACTGGGTCTTCAGTGTTTTATTATAATAATTTATAATGTATTTTGTTGTAATATAGAATTTTTATACTGGCGTAATTAGTCTGATTTGTTTAACGGGGGTTTTGTCTGTGCATTTGAGTTAAATTACTTGTAGGTAAACATATATCGACCAAAAAAGTTTGGAAACAATATAAATTTAACTGTTGATACATTTTATAAAAAAAAAATACTTCTTCAGATATACCATTAGCTTTTATACCCTTTAAAACATAATTGCTTGCGTTTAAATTACAATAATAATTGTATTTATAAAAGATACAGTAAAGTGCCATCAATGCCACGGGTTAACTGACATGGACATGTGTGATTCAATGCCACTACAAGACTGCCATCACAATCAGGTTTCTATTTCTTTCATTCTTTAAATTTTCATTACAACATTTGTAAATAACTCGTTGTGGTAAATACAAGTTGCAACCTATATGTAATACATTTTCGAATTTATCTAATTAATGTAAGCAAAAAAGGAATACACTATTCATAATTTATATAAATGTTTGAGATGTATGTGACTTTAAACCACCTGCCGCTTACCGCTGTATATATAGGTTCGAGCTGCGCAAGCGTCTTTGGATTCTTTCAGGAGGGATAGCTATCCAGCTAGTTTACGGAACGTCGGTGGTTCTACTCAGGTGCCCGTTTGTGTCTGAAACAGAGGGTTCCAGATGTTTTCCTCCACCAGTAAAGTTGGAAAATCGCAATATGACTCATATTGTGTTGGTGCTTCATAAAACCCAGTCCAGAAAAAGATATTTAATATGTAATGTTTAAACAAAATTAAGCTTGTTAAGAATGAAGTATACGGTAAAATTGTTGTGCTTCAAGGAGTAAGATACTTATCCAAATTCTTGATATATTAAAATATGTAAAATATAAAATCTGATTAAAGGTATGTGCAACTTCATTACAACAAGACCCGTACACAGGCTTGACCATGGTAACTAAAGGTTGTGCTGATCAAGCATGGTGTCACGTGACCCATGGGTGTAACATACATTTTATGTCGTGTGTATCGTGTTGCCATGGCGATCTATGTAATACTGCTAACAACATGACGGCCAACGTGACAGAAGCCCCGAGGTCAAATAGTCCAACAACGCAGCAGCCGACACAACCTTGGAGGACTTCCGGTTCGACTCGTTCAACTACTACCAATAGCTGTAACTATGTATTTGAAATATCTGATACATAGGTTTTTATATCTTTTGTTTTCAAGTGATATTTTGAAGAAACCTTCAACATGTTTTTGAACAGTGTAGTTTTGAAATAGATGTATATACAAAGAATTAAAAAAAAACACACAAATTATTTACACAAATGCATTATACGATTTCACACCAGAAAAACGTGCACAAATGCAAACATATCAATTTTGTTAAAATGTACTTATTGAGGGACGTCTATGTATTCCTGTATATATTGCTTATTAAAACTAATTTGTTGAGACATCTTAAATTTTATTTTCAAGTCTTGTCAAATATAGATTTAAATACAAATAAACATAGTTGAAAATTAAACAGTTAATTGAATTTCGCTTCATATTCGTTTATCTAACTATTATTTTGTAAAATAAAAAAATGATCAAATAAAATTATTCATCATGCAGACGAGACGTGCCAGTTAGACTACATTTCTACTCCGCTGACATCCCACGTGCTAAGATTAATGACCTTCAACTTTTTACCAATCAATGATAGACGTTATATGTGCGAGTGAGTAACCACAATTAACATTCAAACTTTTATGATTATATAGGCAATACATTGCAGGTCTTTAATCGTTGTAATTTAAATGTATCATCCGTGATTATATCATAGAAGACGTATTTCTGAATGTTTGAAATCAATTATTCCAATATCTTTTATGCCGAAGTTTGAATTAGGCGATGGAAGATAAAACTTTGAACATACCCTTTTCGTTCATGAAATGTGCAATCTTGTTTATCAGCAGTTTGTCGGTTTCATGCCCACGAAATTGAAAACTCGTCTTTTAAAATCATTTGTCTTTTTGGTTGAATTTACTGCTATTTTTTAGTTAGCCTGTTTTCCTATTTTTTAATCTACATAAAGACTTTATGTATCCAGTTATGCAAAGATGTGTTATTCTCTATAGATAAAAAGACTCATGTGATCAATTTTATTTTATATAAAAAGGGGTTTTGAGGATGTATTTGCAATGGTATCTAGCCATTTGAATCCTAATTGTCCGGAAGTTGTCACTGAGCATGTGCGGAAGTTGTTAGAGTGGTTATCGCCACTGACTACAGAAGTTTGCAATGTAGAAAAGAATGATGAGAAGTGTTCAGAGGCTATAGTCTGTATCAGTGACATGGAGCATTTTACAGACAAAAATACAACTTGCAGGTAAAAAGAAAACAATTTACATATTAAAAAAATCAGTAGTCAGAAATGTTATTTCACTATACAAATCGTATATTACTCATTTTCCGTTATTAAAACCATTATTCATTTGCCGTTATTAAAACCATTAATCATATGAAATTGTTAAAACCATTATAATTGTAAATTGATGTAGCGTGAATAGATAATACTATATCACATATTTCATATTTGACTTTTATCTGTTGCCATGCAACTTAGTAAATACAAACGGTATCCCCAATCTCAATAATAATTTTTACTTTTAATGCTAAATTTAGAAAGATAATCAATTCTTACATTTTATTCCAATATTTAACGTCATTTTGCTTCAAAGTCATGTCGAAAATGAGCTATATTATAACTTGCATTGTTTAAAGTCATGTTATGCATTTAAAACTTTATTTTGACTACACCGTGACAGCCTCCTCATCCCAATCAGCATTGGTGTTATATTATTTATACCCCCGCACAACAAAGTTGTAAGGGGGGTATACTGGAATCAGCTTGTCCGTCCGGCTGATTAGTAGATGACCCCTATTGATTTTGAGGTCACCAGGTCAAAGGTCAAGGTCACAGGGGCCTTGACTTCAAAAAGCTTGTCCGCCCAATAACTTAAGATTCCTTTGACCTACAGTCGTCATATTTGACATGGACGTTAGTCATGATTAGTAGATGACCCCTATTGATTTTGAGGTCACCAGGTCAAAGGTCAAGGTCACAGGGGCCTTGACTTCAAAAAGCTTGTCCCCCCAATAACTTAAGATTCCTATGACCCATAGTCTTCATATTTGGCATGGACGTTAGTCATGATTAGTAGATGACCCCAATTGATTTTGAGGTCACTAGGTCAAAGGTCAAGGTCACAGGGGCCTTGACTTCAAAAAGCTTGTCCGCCCAATAACTTAAGATTCCTTTGACCCATAGTCTTCATATTTAGCATGGAGGTTAGTCATGATTTGTTGATGACTCCTATTGATTTTGAGGTCATCAGGTCAAAGGTCAAGGTCGCAGGGGCCTTGACTTCAAAAAGTTTGTCCGCCCAATAACTTAAGATTCCTTTGACCCATAGTCTTCATATTTGGCATGGAGGTTAGACATGATTAGTAGATGACCCCTATTGACTTTGAGGTCACCAGGTCAAAGGTCAAGGTCACAGGGGCCTTGACTTCAAAAAGCTTGTCCACCCTTTAACTTAAGATTCCTTTGACCCACAGTCTTCATGTTTGGCATGGAGGTAAGTCATGATTAGTAGATGACCCCTATTGATTTTTAGGTCACCAGGTCAAAGGTCAAGGTCACAGGGACTTTGACTTCAAAAAGTTTGTCCACCCATTTACTTAAGATTCCTTTGACCCACAGTCTTCATATTTGGCATGGATGTTGATCATGACTATAAGGTGACCCCTATTGACTTTGAGGTCACTGGGTCGAAGGTCAAGGTCAAAGGGACCTTGACAAAAAAAAGCTTTTCTTCTCAATTGCTAAAGAATGTCCTGTCCGCAATGTATTGATTTTGACATTTTCACATTTGAAGCTTGTAGAATACATAACTTAGCAATGCACTGGCTTAGTAACCTCAGATTTGGCAGGGAGGTTGTCCTTGAGCTCTAAATGGCCACTGTTGATTCTGACAAAGTGGTATGCGGGGGTATTCACGCCAAGATAGTGGCAGTTCTAGTTAATTAATTAATTAATTACTGATAGTAAAATATCTGTGTTTGTTACAGGTCTATATCTAAAGCAATGAGCTGTTTGCAGACACACTATCAATATTGCAATGCTCAAGGCCAGATGTCTATAAATAGAACAAGACATATACTTTCTGATATGCACTTTGTCGTCTGTGAACCAAATATACTAATACAAGGACAAGCGGAAGTAGAATGCGTTTCTTTGGCAACAAAGGATTTGAGATCTGGCAATTGTGATGTGAATGCAACTATGCAATGTGCTGCTCATACGCGGAAAGCATTTCATAACCCATTTTTGTTACAAGATGATATGTGCAGGTTCGTTGAAATTATATATTGACATTGTATATTGTTATTTCCAAAATACTCTTCTTAGTACTATCTCATAAAAACACAGTTTCCTTTTTATCCACGGTATAATATCATATATTTTCGAACGCAACGAGTTATTCCAGCATTTTTTTTTTCAATCATTTAAACGCCAGTTTCAACTTTTTATTCATATTAAAAGTAAAGAGGGAAAATATAGTATTATTGAGGAAAGGAAAGCCATTTAAGAAAATAGCATTAATACCCTAACGAACAACTAGTCTATCGATCCTCAATATTCCTTTTTGTTTTCAGGATTGCTAAACAAGGCCTAAATTGTATCCAAAACAATTCCATGAACTGCTCCATGGACGCTCTTGGTAGTATGTCGTCTGCTGTATTGAACTTAGTGCAAGGTGTCAGTAGCGCATGTCCAAACGTCTGGTGCCCTGTTAATTCAAACTGTACCCTAGAACCAGCCAAGAAATGTATGGCGAGCCTTGAATCTGAAGTTCAAAAACAGTTCATGGCAGGAAACTTTAACAAAAGCATTTGCAAGTTCGTATTTTTAAACATTGCTGATACTTTATAATAACAAATTTTCAAAAAAAGAAATTTTTCTCAATACAATGCAAATATTTGAATAAAACGAATCGAATTCTAAGTACATATGAAAATATTACGAAATTCAAAATGACCTTTTGAAGCAAATTAACTATACATCATAAATATTTAGGACAGTATACTTGTGTAAAGAACAATAGTGACATACAGTACCAAGGTTATTATTTTGTCATTTTATTCTTATTCAGCTCAAATATTTCATAATCTTAAATCTTATAATTGCAGATCAATCACAAGAACTCACCATTGTATCATGAATGCGTCTCAAAACTGCAATTTACCAGGGGCACATGATTTGCTTCAACAGTTCAACGCAATAGTTATACTAACCTCCACATGGTGCACTGAAGAACCCATTTATCATAACGAATGCCTAAACGGTCTGCATCATGCCATCGATAATCTTGTAAAATTTGATACTGACTTTGTCAATTATATCTTGAGAACAAACCTTCAGATGACTCTAGTACGCTTTGTCTTGTCTAAAGATTTTGACGACAACACTATTAAGAATGGTTTGTCAATTCTCGGTTTAAAGCCTTCCCTTCTGCCTCTTCTAAGGAAAGACAGCGATATCATTATTCCAAGTGTGATTGGATATCTTTTCAAGAACAATAACATTGAAGGTGTAGACTTGCAAGCGCTCGCACACTTTATAGGAGAAGTTGCAACAGTAAATCGTGTAACAGGAGGGTTTGGAGAGGGACTTAATTTACCTGGAGGTGGTTTTGGAAGTAACGATAATGGAACTAACTCGGGATTTGGCGGTATCAACCTGCCAGGAGAGGGGTATGGAACTGACAGAAATGAGACAGGTCCTGAAGCCGGTGGTATCAATCTACCAGGGGTCAGTTCTGGTACCGGCGGTGACTTTGGTTATGGTTTGGCTTTAGCCGGTGGATATGGCAATTCTGATGACATTGCGTTAATTGATATTGACAAAAATATTCACAAAATAGCAAGTCTTTTATTCCGTTCAAATACGTTTGGAACCGATCTAACTCTACGGTTTTTAAATATCATGAATAAGACAGTTGAAGATGTTGTGTCTTTAATTGATGAAAAGAGTTTGATAATGTACAACCAACGACAGCATTATCTTTGTGACACAATTCATGAGTTATTGCATTGCGCATATGGAAATATGTACAGCTCGTTAATGAGTTCATCAAAAAGACAAGAATTTATTGCAGAGACAACTTTAGGGTTGTTAGAAGGTCTTGCTAGTGGAATGTGTCAAGGTAAGTTTTAACAATTCCAAGTAAACGTGATGCTTATATAGTTGTTAAAACACCTTAAAATAGATGGTTTTGCAGTTTTTAGAATTTCATAAAAATGTTATATCAATTTGTTTTAGTAAGTGATACAATTCTTTCAATATATTTGTATTTTTTCTTTTGAAAAGTTTGATATCTATAAAACATTTGGTTTTTCTTATACAGAGGTCCAGTGTCACAGCTGTTATGGTCTTCATAACAATGAGGATTGCAATATGCAGCCGGTTATGTTCTGTGAATCATTACAAGTAAGAACTTATTCCATCTTTATAATATATTGTCAAAAATGTTAATCAATGTTCCCATCGATATAAATATTGCTCTGAAATTATATTTCGAATGGAAGTATTAAATTAAATTACATTAACATGTTGAAATTAAACTATACACTATACCACAGTTCAAAACATACAAACTATTTTACACTTTGAATGTAAAATATTGAAGGTGAGATTTACAGAAAAGTCCAACTCGTCTTTCAGTAGTGTAACATGTACGTTCAGTTCGATCCAAAAGAAGAAAAACTGCTTTATTTCTTTGTAAGTAGTGTATACAAGTATACATTGTATGGTATTTGTTAATTTTTTCTTAAAAGTGAAAACAAATTTGCTGCATCTTTTCAACAGCTAGTGGTAATGATTATTCATTCGAAGTGGGACAATAACAAATAATGAAATAGATATGCTGCAACTGCATCAATGCTATTATATTCTCTTGGTCCTTCGGGATCATTGAGCTGGTACACGGGGAGGGGGCGTGAGAAATGTTGCACTTTAAAAGAATCTGTCATAAACAGTTTCTGTCAACCGGGTTTGTAATGTTTATGCGGTGCGGTTGTTTTGAGGGCTTCTGTGATTTAAATCATCGATAATAAAACAAATACTTCAGGTGTGTCAAACAAAGGTTTCTGACGATCACTACTATAAGGGATGTGCGTCGGCATTGACATGTGAAGAGGAATGCAAAAGAACAAGAGGTCCTTGCTATTGCTGTCGAGGACAGCGGTGTAACAAATATGAAGGTACGTGAGAGTAAATAAAAGTTATCAGTTGGAATGTCAGAAGTATCATATTTAAAGGACCATGAGCGTTTTTGCTAGGGCGCGGACGATAGCTTGTAACTACCGTCCAAGCTCTATAAAGCCAGCCCTGCAGTATTTTCAATACTGCCGTTTTGGGCGTCCTTTTAAGGTTCGTTTTTCTGTTTTTTTAAGATACCAAATGAAAACAAAAACAGCATAGTCATTAACTCTATGGTACACATTTTACATGTATAACAAGGAAAACTTGTAAATGTGCATAATGAAAGGACTTAATGTTTTGTATATTCTTACAGAAAACATTGATACGGTGTATATTATCTTAACTTTGATACCTGACGTTGTTTTATAATATTTGTGCTGTTCCGTAAAATGCAATGCCAACAAGCAACTGTGAATCTGCAGGATGGAAAAACTGATTGTAACAATATAATGAAACTGAATAAACGACAAAAATAATGCTAATAAATCTGTTTACAGTACAACTTCACGGTGTGGCTAAATGTGACACTCAAAAGGCAGTTGATGCAGCATACGATCTTCTAAATTTTTCAATGAACGCAGGGACAAATCATAATCAAAGGTATATGTCATAGAAGTTACTTTTCTAAACGCAGATGAAAGTCATACCAAAAACATAACATAACTTATCGATAACGCATAACTCAGTATTGACTATATGTGTTGTAAATGTTTACCTAGAAATACCATGACATTTTTGATCTTTGTCTGATAATTTGTAAACTTTATACGAGTATTTTATTCATCAAGATAATGGATTAGGTAATTGTCATTTTTTAACCTTACTATCTTGTTTTTGTCCAGTGAAACATCATTAGTGTATGCAAAAGCAAATCAAATGATTATGGCAACAGACGGATGCTACACCTTCTATCAACGAAATTTTGGAACCGAAGGCGAAAGGATAATAAAACTTCTAGAAGCTGAAAACTGCACGAACCATCGAATGTCAAAGGATTGTAATGACCATGAGCTCAAAACTTTGCATACCTTGATACATACACCATATTTTACTACAAAATCCGTAGATACAGTTTGTAGGTAAGAATGTGCCTGATTTGCCTTAATTGTATACCAGTTTTCGATTTATGTCTCAATATTAATTAATTACCGAACAGCAAAACTGCATAATAATTTATGCTATTTCTTCGTATTATCAAAACTTTACGTTCGTAGCTATTTATAATCTAAAACAGTTTTTTCTTTGTTACTATTTGTACTGAATTGAATTATCTATTGAGTCCTTGTCATATTGGACTCATGTCTTAATTTAAGAACTAACTTTTAGCAAAATCTTTAAAGCTTTATCTATTTTTGTTTTCAGTTTATTTAATGTGGTATCCAAGAAAGTTGTTGATAACATTTCTCGGGGAAAGTGTTGTGACAGTACTGTAACTGATACATTGATAACAATGTATACATTCATAAATCCACAATGCGACAACATTAGAATCAACCAACTGTGTGATGTTAAACTACACTCTTCATGCCAGAATCATTCCCGTCAAACTTCTGATGGAAAAAGACAAGGAAGTTCTGAAGGAAACAAACAAGGAAATTTAACTGATGCAACTGAAGAAATACTTCAACAAGAACAGAAAGATTTTATAAATAATATATGCAGCCAAATAAGTAAGGATCAAAAACAAGGTTCAAACAACCTGACTGGTTCTGATGTAACGGTGAAAAATGAAGGTTGTAACGTTGTGGAAGCTATTGGAATATGCTTTGGGTTAGGAATGGATTGCAGGTACAACTAAATGAAATACGAATTTAATTTTAAATTACAATATCAAGACAGGTTTTCCTTCTCTTTCTTCTTCTGTAATCAGAAATGACTAGAAATAATTAAGCGAAAATAATGGTCATTCATGGGAAAAGAAAAAGGTCTAGTACGATAGGTCTAGATGGTTGCATTTATGGAAAATCCTATGTCTAAAAAGTGTCTTAAGACCAAAACTGAGACAATTTTCAATAAAATAAGGTCCTAACTTATTACTCTTATGTTAAGACTACAATTTCTGAATATATCGGTGCAGATAAAAAACACATTGCAGATTGAAGCGCGTGCCATTGTATTTTGAAACTTTTCTTAGGAGACTGACTTAAATAGAGTATAGAACTTTTACTATCAAAGATTAAAATACTTATTGAAATGTTCTAACGTTATTCCTATAGTTTGTCATAAGTCCTAAGACTTAGGATACACTTAGGACTTTCAATGCTAAGAAAACCTAACAAAGTGTTTAAAAGGGTGCAAAACATAACACCTTAAAAAGCCTAACTATTCTACAATATGTTATGAGTATTTGTGCGAATAAAAGATGGTCAGTAGTTAAAAAAACATACTGAAAAGACTTGTGCAGTAGTTATAGTACATGCAACCATTTTGTGTGTGATGTTTCGATATAAAATTTCGAATATTTGCTATCATTTATTCTCAGATTTTGTACTTAAAATTAAATTTCATGAAAAAAATATGAATTATGTTCTTATTGGTGACTACATTTCTGGAGGGGCCATTTGTCGCTAGCAGTTGAAACAAACCCTATGGTATTTAGCGCAATATGACAAATACATCAAAAATTAGAATACAACCAAATGCCACAACCACGACGCTTTATAATTGCAGAAGTAAATAATATTCCTACACATGTTTCACACAATTACTAGTATAGTAAAACTAGGGTCTAGTTGGAATATGGGATTAAGGAGTATTTAAAAAGTGTGTTCAACAATTGTATTATCATCTTTTTCAGTGATATTGCTATTGAAAGGCTTTCCGAATGCATGTCCAACCGCACATCTTTTTGTTCTCCAACACAACTTGTAATGGCGGCAACGACAATGGACAGGGTTGCCTTCTCATGTGGCAGAGACATAAGCATTTCACAAGATCTTATCAGGTAAAATATAACGAAATTCAGTAGAACACGGATGATTCCATCGAGAATATTATTCTGAAGTAAACAAAACAGGACTTTGTATTAATATGCTTATGTTTTAGTTTTATTTTTAATCTTTTGAAAACGTTGATAATAATATAAGCAATAAACCATTATGAAATATTTTAATCGTAAATGAGAGTTTAGCATTCGTACATTAAAAAATTGACATATAATTTTAGAATTTGATTGTTTGATTACATATAGATTAAATTTTGACGTATGCTATTATCAAGACATGTGTGCTCATAATATTAATTTGCTATATATTTATCTTAAAATCGGGCTTTTGTTATTAAAACCTTTAAGTGATGTTATGTAAATATTTAGATAGTTGATGATGTCTGATATGCTCCAACGTATACTGGTTTTACATACGAACTAATTGAAATTAAACAATGTTATATTTAGTGTGAAAGCAGCTCTGATACGAGTTTGATGACAATAGCATAGCAATACTGTAAGTCGGTTTGCTTGGCAATCAAGGTTAAAGTATATCTCGTCTGCGCCAAACTACAACACGTATCTTAGAAATGTTAAAGGCAAAGTGGATCACACGAAAACTTTTGCTTGCAACTACGGTAAAGTTTTTTCTCTATATTCTATTCATATCTTTACATGTATAATATTTGTTTTCAGAAGCTTATGGCAGATTAAATAAAAATACTTTCACACTCCTATCACATAAAACACTAGTAATACTTTGATTGCACAACTTTCATATTTTGGCTTACAAAAAAAAAACAAAAAAAACAAAAAAAAAACAACAAAAAACAGAAAAAACTCCAAAAAGCAAATGCACCAAATTTAACTGTCTTTTGAAACTGCGTGCATTCAGGTGAGCCAAAATATTTGAAGAAATTTCAACATTACACAAAATTTAAAGAGAAGTCTTAATTATACTTTCGTTATGTCAATAAAGAGTAAAATGTATATAATAATTCTATAAATACAGGATTTATTTCATCTTGTGTTGGGAAAGTAAATATTTCATGAGGGGCGATGAAAATAAATCCTGTATTAATAAAAAAAAACAACTTGAATATGCTCTATAAAATACAATGACGGTCAAAGTGAATTGATATTGTAAACTCTTTAATGAATATCTATTTTTTAATGTTTCTGTTTTTTTATTCTTAATTCTGTAATAACCATTATAATAGATATGATAATATATATATCTTAGATATGAGTGTGGAAGCACAAGGTGATACTAATGAGACGTGTGATGTTACTATGACGGCCGAGATAGCAATACAATATCTGAACTTTATGCTCACCGGTCCTGTAGTACTCGGCAGTGATGATTGCTTGTAATATATTTATATTGCTCTTTTTATTGTTATTTTTTGTTGATTTACTTCATTCAATTATGATAAAATCCTACTGTTAATATACTATATACTATTATTAATGAAGTATCAAAATATATCATCAGAAAGTAAACAAGTTTGATAAAATCTTTAAGATCTCTAATAAGATATTTTAACATGACTTTATTTTACGCATGCTTGTTTTAGGTTGTTGACTTCGAACACTTGTCCCTCGCTGTGGGTTCGAATCCTGCTAGGAACTTTTGATTCTTTGAGGGAGAATTTACATTTAATTTATACTTTGGTGTCAAGTGTTTTTGAAATATACGGAACGCTGACTTTTACCGTTTGCTTTTACAGTTTTGGAATGGAATTGGAAGAACTGAAGCATAGCCTAGAGAATTGTCCGGGTAATGATGCACGTCAACTGGATGATCTTTTGTCATGGATGGAACTTGATGTCAAGGTTTCTTGTGACGCTAATTTGGCTGCTATATCTTGTCAGCGATCGACATGTGACATTTCCATGGCAACAAATCTTCTACAACAGATTGGCTACTATCTTATGGCGAGAAACCTTGATGAAAGAGTGGTTTGCAAGTAAGAAAAAAACTTCTAAAAAAGGCACGAAATTCAAGATAGATGTATGAGCGTTCTTCAACTTATTCTAATATTTGAATTAACACAATTTTAAAACATTTTGAAAATACTCTTTTTAAAGCGTTGAGCGAAGTGTTTGCAAATTTTTAAGTTTGAAATATTCGTCTGGATTATCTAAACTATAGCATTAATGTGAATGAAAATTGAAAATGAATATAAATTTTTTCATTTCCAATGCATTATTCAATTAATTTGAACTTTTTTAAAACCTGTTTTCTTGACATGGACAGGAAAACTGATTGCTGGATATGAATATTTAAATACAAATACGATGTATGGTTGTATGTAAGTTTTCGTTATCTACCTAGGAAAGTAACAAATGTTCTTGATGGAGTACATTGCGTAGTAGGGAATTGTACAGAAGAAGATGTTACTTTTATAAACGAAGAAGTATTGTATATACGTTCTCTTATTGGTACGCGTTGCAATACGTTGACAGATCATCTATATTGCAACAATAATGAGATAATTCAAGGTATATTTAAATTATTTCCATATTCATTTTTCCACTTTCTCTTTTAGTGCAAAACGGTTTTTACTCGTACAAAAAAGATAGTAAATATACTGTGACCTGCCTGAAGCCCCTATTTTCTTTCTCAAATAAAATAAAAATTACAAAGTGGATTCATGTCTTGAAAGAAGGATTGAAAGTCTGCAAATCTGATAAATGATAAAAGAAAAATATAAAACTATTATATAGTTTCTTTACAGTTGAATATGTTTAATTGAGTCATAACTGATGTTCATAACTGATGAAATATATCTATATCTATGATAAAAAGTGAAGTTAAGACGATTATGAAATAGACATATTAAATATATTTTATGTTAAAGGAAATGAGAGCAGTGGAAGAAATTCTACAAACATGCGTAATCCCCATAGAGGAACATTGAACGAGACGCAGTCATTTGAAAATGGGACCCGTGATGGTAGAGCATGCAATGTGATGCAAGCCAAACTGTGCACGAGCAATGTTCGGCTACCATCAGCAGAAGATGGTCTTTACTGCAGGTAGCTGTGATACAGTTGCAATTTATTCATCATATTATGATAAAGTTTATATTTCATTTAACATCTACGTCAGGTATGTGTCCGGAGTTGAGTGATATAACCATAGATTAAATACAGTCATGTAGTTTGAAATTTGTGAAGGTTAATACTATAAAATCTGATTCAAAGTTAACAAAAAGTGGTTTTAAGAATGAATTTTATAGTTTGTCAGTCTCCTCTGTGATGGCTTTAATACGAGTTTCATGCTTCAAAAGATTCCTCTTCAAGAACTTTTTAAAGCACGTACGGACATCTGAGTTGAATCAGCGGTAGACAATAAGATATGATGTATACTGAATCTTTTATCCGGTACCCGGTCATAGCTTGTTTTATTTCATATTTCAAGTTTATATCTATATTATGTGGACAAATATGACATTTTTATATCTTTTAACTTTAGATAGATGAATGAGGTTTTCTAACCACAATTTCGCTTTTGCTTATAATTGTCTTTACTCTTGTATATCAAACGTTGTTCGAATGCTTTAGTGTAAAATGGCATGACCCTTCTAAATTTCAGCAAAATGCGTTTAGCTACTGAAACATTGTCAGTATGTGTAGTGGAAAATCTTGCTGGTTGCAAAATGGACGATATTACGCCAGCATTAGTGTTTTACCAAGACCTTTTCTCACATCAGAAGCAATATTGCTATACAAAGTTCTTAACAGTCGTGTTTGCAGATCTTTTACCAACGGAGCAGTGCTATATACCAGAATGTTCTCATATCACTGCAATGGATTGTCTGAAACATTTCAATGCATCGGGAAAAGACAAGTGCGGGTATGTGTAAACATTGTGTTATCATTTTTCGTATATATTCTTTAATATTCTTTAATTACGGGTTCATACACCTCGTTTTTATGACTTGCATGATGTTATACATCAAAGCGGGTCTGCAGCATTTTGCAGCAAGTTTTGCTGTATTGACCGGCCTTTCAGGTTTAAATTTCAGGATGTATGTGGGGGGAGGAAGAATCTGATACATCAATTTAATGCATAAAAAGCTTTATTCTTTAAAAAGTCTAGTTAACAAAATGTAATTAAAGTCACCAGAATTCAGATATGTTTTTTATGTTTTTGTTTTATATAATTGCAAATATAAAGGCAACATATTTAATTTGAAACTCGCTAATCAATAGACTTTGCTGTAGATAGTAGATCAACTGATTAAGTAAGGACGTGCATTATAAAAATATACTAACATTACAGTCCTGTACTTGCTTAAACATTATGTAATGATTAAACCGTACGCTAGTTCGTCAAATGAAATTGAAGTTCCTTAGTTAAATCAAGACGGGTAAATTTCATTTCAGAAATGTAAATGATGTAGAGCAATGTATCATCTATGCCACCGAAGGATGTAATGCTATTCAGCAGTCTGCATTGATGCTTTCATTGCAAGCATTATCAGATAAGGAAGACATTCCTAATGAGTGTATTAAACATAGGAGAGTAGTTGATAGTGAAGCTGAACATTTGGTTAAATGTGTAACAAATTTTACTGAACAGATAGAAGAGGCATTGTTTGGAAATATGACTGGTATATAAACTTTAGTCAATTATCAAATACATGTATATTAATGAATAAAAAGCATGCAGCATTCGTTTACATGATTAACATATCTATAATAATTAATATCTATAAAAAACAAACATAAACATGATTTTTAGATATCTATAGATATCATTATCGGAAATGTGTATAAGATATTCATTCACATCATAATTTCAATAAATTTAAATCATTATCGATTATATGTACATATAGGTATCCGGAACACACGTTTCATGCGTCAGTTTAATTACATTTTAAAAGTTTATACATATTTATAATTGATTCTCAAGTGTAAAACAAATTCAAGTTATAATGAGTCCAATTTCTTGACTTATTCAGGACTGAAGTCATATGTGGAAATATAGGGAGGATTTACGTAATAATCTTACTCATGATTCACATTTTGCGACAACTCTGTTATCACACAAACCACTTTTCCCATTAAGTTTTGAATTAATAGATTTCCGTGTTTTTAAAAGAACAATTCAAAAGTAATATACAACACAGATATTATAACTAAGTAATCTTTTAATAATTTAAAGTTAAATAAACACAACTCTAAGAAAGATATCGTTAAATCGTATAATTTTAAAATACAATGCCTTTATTCTTTTCAGGATCTCCTACTTGTCATTTGATGACATCATACTTGGGGTGTCTGGAGAATATGTTTGCAGTCGACGAGTTCCCGGTAGTAATTAAAGAGACGGCAAATCATCTACTTAAAGTCGCTAGACCATCTGTTGATATCGCTTGCAAAGAAACAGGTTAGAACTTAAGTTTGACTTAAAACAACTTGGTGCACAAAACTTGTGCTTATGCTTATGTTTTGACTGTAATAAAGTTCGCAATGTTAATATGTTTAAAACTTCTTCTTGGTAAAACTCAATATTCTTTAATTATTTTGATATAGTTTATTATAATACCTACAAGAAAAGGAACGAATGAGAAGGATAGCATGTAACCAAACAGGCAAACATGGACCTTGGTAATATTGTCTGTCCCCATGATGTATAAATATGCAGTGACAATAAATTTGATTTGCCATAGAAAATGTAATATTATCACTTGACTGCTCAAAACCTAGTAGTTTTCCAGAATGAAACAAACTTCCTGTTAATATGCACCATTTTTTTCATCTTTAATAAATTGGTGAAATATTGAGAAAAATAAATAACCAGAGCAGCAGCGAGACTATAATTTGAAACATGTAGACACTGTTTATATTTTTTCTATTTTTAGTTTAAATTTATAAATGCTTATCAAAATTTGTATTTTGCAGATGACAAAACTTCTGAAGAGAAAATGATGCGTCAAGGTAACTTATATGATGTCTTACCTTAAGGCCGTTTGTTACAACAGTCGTGCGGACTGAGCATTGTTTGAAATGATCACTGTTTAGCGAGCAAATATTTTTAAATCTTTATTTCAAAAAAGAGTGAATAATTATTGTTGTTGTTCAGACATATTGAGCGATGACCAAATCTGGGATATTTACCATGGTACAGGCTAAACTTTTAAAGGATTGTTGGCGAGTTCTTGTAAAATGTTTTTGGTATCGTTTTATTCAAGATTTATATACATTTTAGCCGGACACCTAGAAAGATATGAATCATTTACTGTTTGTGTAAAAATTTACGATATAGAACAAATATTTGCATTGCATTTGTTATGAACAGCTGGTTTTGGTAAAGTTATGTGTTTTTTTTTTCATCATGAGCAGACAATTTAAAAAAATATTTCAGGGCATAGCAATGAAACATGTGACACTAGAGAGGCAGTCTACTGTTTGAGGAAATTCTCAACAAATGCTTTATTGTTGCCACTTTTGTCTCCTGACGGGAAAGAAATGATATGTTCGCAGTAAGACACTTTTTTAAAATCATTTTATTTAATAGTTCACCTTAATTCCACAAAATTCTTTGTTGTATATATTCTAAAAACTATGATTATGGTAGTGTGTTTTTTATAACTATAATCAAATTGTTATAATTAGATGACAAATTCTCTGCTCATATTTGTACAAATTATACTTATAATTTAATTATAAAGTAAACATTATGCTGTAACATAAACAAGTTCATATATAATTGCCGTCTTTTTTCATTCTTTTGTTTGTTTCATTTTACGCCTTTTCTCAACAGTATTTCAGTCACATAGGCGGGTAGTTTCCTAACTTTCGTTCCTGGAGAGTTACACCAGTACTAGACTACCTTCCTTCGCGCTAATTTTTTTTTCATTCATTAATATAAGTTTGCTAGATCTGTTTCCGTCATTTGTGATAATATACAATGTAATTAGAATCTCGAGACACTGTGCAACATATGTGTACAGAATTGAAACAACGGAACAATTGTACATTTAATTGTATGTTCACATATGCTACATGATTTATATGACATTGTAACATTTTCAGTCTGTCAGAGGGGAGAAATTGTTTGACAGAAGCGTTATTAGGATGTCCGCTCCATGATATGACCAGCAAGTTTTTCACGCTCTACAACACAATAGAAATTATGGCACAACTATCTGGTGTCTGTTCTCCCCATCCAATGGTTTGCAGTCCTGAAATAGCAATGGAATGTATATCAAATTTAGGCTTAACTTTAGGCAGTATGTCACCACATTATGAAGTTTGCGGGTAAGTTTATTTTTTTCCACTTAACCATCGACCTGCTGAGCTTGTTTATCTGAATTTGAATCAGTCAATCTGATTTTATTATGGAAATAAAAACATCACTGTACAGACAGCACACTCGTCTGCACGCTCTATATTGGTAGCAAATGGTAATCACCTCCAGTATTCTTTCATTTATTTAATTATCTTGAGTATTGCTTATTCTAATATTTATTTCGAAATCGTTTTGTTAGTTTGATTTGGCTTTTTTGTCACACCGACACAGTATAGGTCATTTGGCGACGTTCCAGCTTTATTGGCGGAGGAAGACATCTGGTGCCCTTCTGTGCATTTTTTTCAGGCACGAACGGGCACCTGAGTAGAACCACCGACGTTCCGTAAGCTATCTGGATAGTTTCCTCACATGAAAGAATCTAAAGTCCCTGTCGGGATTCGAACCCACAGCGTTGAGGGGCAAGTGGTTTGAAGTCAACGACCTTAACCACTCGGCCACGGACGCCCTAAATCGTTTTGTTATCATAATACCGTAAAGGGAATTTGATAGTTTTTGTCCTCACCTTACTACTGGTCCTTTAAGAGTCATACTATCACAATTTAGATATCTGTAAATCCATTGTCTTTCTGTAGGAGCGCCAGCAAAAATGTCTCTATTTTTTAACAAATAAAAGTTATGTAAGTAACAGAATAAATGTTTCCTGAGAATAGCATCTAGTAGTTTATAGGACTAGAGGACTAGAGATGATTGCTTTAGCGGACAATTTCGGTAACCTACATATATCTTTCAAATTAGATTCTTTGATATTGCTAGACTCATTTAAAGGAAAAGAAGTATTCTGCTGACTTCAGTACTCTATATAACTTTCGAACACTTTTCATCTGGTTTCCAGTGATAATATTGCTATTTTGCAGGAATCTGTTCGATACAGAGATATGTATGCAACAGACAACAAGTGGATGTGATGATATCACCAAGACTTCGATTCGTCGTGCATACGAGCCAATAAGTTGCAAGGCCTATTCCCTGTGTCCAAATGCCATAATGATCAGTGATGAGTCAAAAGGAAAACACAAAACTTGTATAGATCCTGCAGGTAAAGAGCTTTTGTATTATTTAATACTTACCACGCTAAAATAATCTTACATTACTGTGTTCATCGTTCAATTTGGACAAAGACATCCGAAAATATTATTGCGAGCTGAAAACCAAACGCAGATGTGCCGACTGCTCTTGGTCTGCACTTTTCACGTGGATAGGAACACATGTCGCCAGAAGGTAAATGGTTAATCTTACGCATGCACATGCTCGTCTTTGCCTGAAATGTTTGGAAAGATGGAAAACTGAAATATTTCTTCTTTCAAATACGTAAAGTCGCCATTTGACATTAACACTGTCGGCTTTTTTTCAAACCAAGCAAAATATTTACCGGCTTGATGAAAATTTGATCTAGAAAGTCCATGCTTAGAGCGCCTCAATAATTGACTATTCAAATTATCATAAGCAGATTTAGATTCGGATACTAAGACCTACTTCTTATTTAGAATTTGACATTAAAATTCCACTTACCAATGACTACCCTCATTATGATAAACAACAAGGAACCTAACGTATGAACAATGACTAAATTCACTATATTGCGATTTTTTCCGTACATATATGCTTAATATCTTAAAATTTGTAGACACTATTGCTGCAACAGTATCATTGAAACAAAATTACAAAATGATAAGTACATTGAGAGTAATATCTATGCAGCAGTAGTTGAAAATGCTTAAGTACTTAAAACAAACAATGTATATGAAAGTCTGATTGTGTTAGGAACTTCTACAATTTCTTATAAAACAACTGTATACTAATATTTTGTAGATGTGGTTGCACATGGTGGATCATGCAAACCGTCAGTGGCCTTAAAATGTCTTCAAGATATATCCTTCGTTTCTGGTGATAGATATTCAACATGCAGGTATATACAGTATCTTAGTAACATGAAAATAAAAGAGATTGACCTAAATATACTAATATTACAATGTGTTGTTTTACCGATAATTACTATTGTAATGAAGGAATAAATGGAAGTGAGTTTTTAGCAACTGTTTCATATGGCGGACGGTATAAGGCAAACTTACTGTTCTTAAAGAAAAAACCTAATTTAGCAGTATGGAGACAAAGAGATATTGATTCATAGTTTTATGAGATTGTTCGTGAGAAAAGTGTTTTTATTTTCTGCAAGCGGTTTTTTTGTCTTTTCAGGCAATATGAATCATCCCTCAATTGCTTTTTCAACAATATCAACGGTTGCAAGGATGACGCTATCGTACAGATCACGATGTATTACCTACTTTACATTTCCGCTGAAATGGATACAAAATGTGGCATAACAATCAAGCATGGCTGTGATACTGAAGACTCGAATTGCGACCTAAATATTTTAGATGACTGTATTGCAAAGTTTTATGATACTGAAAAATCAGAAAATGAGAAAGCTAGATGTTTGTAAGTTCTTATTCATTCAATTAATTGATATAATGATCAACCATGTATTCTTTAACTGCAAATCTATATCAATGATAACGAAAAATGACATTTTTACAAAAAATATTGAAACAACGGATACATACAATGTTTCGATTGATGCACTTGTGTCTTATGTTAAAGAAATTGTATGCAAACTATTTTCGTTTCAGGGGAAGGAAAGAAGTCAAACAATGCTTTGAAGTAAGCACAAAGTCATGTCCTAGAATAACTAGAATTTATGCGAAGACAAAGTTATTGAAACACTCGCATACTAACGCTGATTCCAATGAATACAACTGTGACAATGTGAACCAGTGTGTTTATAATTACATGCACTACTTCAATCTTACCCTATCAAATTACTACGCCCGTTCTAATGATGATGGTGTTGATAGACATGATGGTCAAACGGAAAAGGAACGTTTGGTTGAAGCACGTTCTGACAAAGAGCTAGATCAAATGAAGTTATACCAGTGTCATTCAAGATTGGAGGAAATTTCTTGCATTGAGTCACATTTGAAAATGTTACCAGATGATGTTGCGATAGTTACTGGTGACTTACTTACTCATATAGACCATAGATTTGCTGACTTGTGTTCAAGTAAGTGATTTTTTTTCTCATCCTATTAATATACAGTAACTTATTTAACACTCGTGTTCCTCAACGATACATTCTATATATTTTGATCATAATTTACATCGTTTTCAAATATCAATTTTATTTGACATTTAATAAAAAAAAGTCGGAGGATATATTTGACAGTCTTAAATCATATATTGCTTGAATGCATTTAAGTTTGGGAGTTTTTAGGATTTTATTTTTCTCCTTTATATAAAGGACATAATTATATGACTTCAATACAGTAGTTTATGTATTTTATTATATGTTCTTTATGTACACGTTTACTTTTTCTATGTAGTTCAAATGGGGTTACTGCCAGACCTACAAGGATGTAACAAAACATGCATCGAGTGTCTTCAAAACCGAAACAAACATCACAATGAACTTACAATGTTGCTGACATTTATAAGTGATTCCATGAATGCATCATCTAACACTGTCATGTTTTCTTCTTCAAAGTTTTGTAGGTATGTAGATCGAATGCTTAATGTTAAAGAGTAGTGTACAATCTGTACAGACATTTGTTTGTAATGTACCCGACAAGTAAATAAATAAATGAATCCTTTATTAGATAAAAAAGAAAGGTCGTTCGTGCCCGAGTGGTTAATGTCGTTGACTACAAACCACTTACCCTTCACCGCTTTGGGTTCAAATCCGGACAGAGACTTTGGATTCTTTCATGTGAGGAAGCTATCGACCTTGCTTATCGAATGTCCGTGGTTTTACTGTGGTGCCGGTGCGTTCTTGAAATAATGCATGGAAGGGCCGATTGTGTTGGTGCGACGTGAAACCTAACAAAATAATTAAATGAATTAGATGGTGACACACTACACGCTTCATTAATGATTAACATGTTGAACGCAAGGTTATTAAAATAACCTTGACAATATTTGAAACATGTTCACAAATTAGCTGGTAATTTACACATTGTCACAAAATATTTGTTTGTTTAAGGTTATTTGACGAAATGAGAGCAGCAAGCATGGAGAGTATGAACATGAGTTGTATAGATGACCATGTGGAGGCGGTATGGCAGAGTAAACACGTGGGGGATATGATCAGTCTGTATGACACTTACTGTGATACACCATGTAACACAACACAAGCTGATTATTGCATAAATCAACTGGAAATAGATTTATCGAACTTGAATAAAGAAGAATCGTGTTTGTGAGTATTATTTTTTTAACTTACTCTTTCTAATTTGATAGTCACGTGATTCTTACGAGCGTTCTCAAAAGGTCAAGAAGATAGATACAGTGCAAACTCAACGCGTTCGTTTTGTGTCGTTGATGATAAACTTTGATTGTATTTAACTATTTAGTAAGGTATTAAAATAATATGTATTTTTTATGCATTTGAGTATGTTATGTTATGTATACGTTATAGTCCTAACTTGTGAACGCAAATCCTTTCCGGCTGCAATTTTCTTAAGACTTACAGGAACGAAAAAATGTTTGGTGAGAAAGTGTGAATCGTTCGTGGCGCAATTTAACAGATATGGCCGCTGTTTGTTTTGATACTTTTTCTACATATCAATTAGAAGAATTTCTTGTGAACGCCAAATTCTTAAGACATTTTGCGAAACTTATCAAGGAATAACTATGTTTTACTTATGTTGATGTAGTAAGGAGGCAATTTCCATGCATCCAAGATTTTTAAATACAACAATGAATAATTTGTTTTTTTTTGCAATTATATATGTAGAATTTTGTGAAGCAATCTCTTAAGATCAGAATTTTTGCTTGAATTCCCAATGTCAATTTTCTGTTATGTTGTTAAGAAAGGTTGTTACTCAGAGGAGGAATATTTCGCTTGCGAGCAAAATGAACTAAAATTATGACTATTATTTTATTTTATTTCATACAGATATCTACACAACTTAATTTTTGTGAAGGAAATGCAGAAACCAAGTTACATCACGAGATGGCAGTTATGCTGCTATTAACATTCCAATGGATAAAATTTAGTTTGTAGGACAGTATACTTGAAGAATTTTTGCTAGGTAAACAAATTGTAAACATTGAATTGCCCTTACTTGATTTTGTTTAACTTGTGCAATGTATTAAAAAATATGATAACAGACACATAATGCATGTGTGGCAACCTTTCTATGAAATGTATAGTAGTTAGTAAATTTTAGTTTTTTAGTTTAATTTAACAATTAAATTTTAAACATAATTCTTATTGCTAAATTTTCTCACATTTTTCTTCAAGAGCTTACAACGAAACGATCAAATGTTTGGGAGAAAGTGTGACGTCATGTGAGGCTACTACTACTAATCAGTATATGAGCCAAGCTGAATTAATGTTTAGAAACACTGGTATCGTCTGCTACAAATTGCCGGAATTTGAAGTAAGTTTCTTATCTTGAGGTAAAAGCCAATTTATTGTTAATGCATTTGCAAATACTTTATCAAGGAATATAGCTTTTTTATGAGTTTTACGCATTGATGTCAGCAAGGACAATGTGACTTTTAAATACCAACCAATGAAATTAAATGTTAAGGTTATGTCTGTGCCAATTTTATCAGAATTGATTTGGGTTGAATATATGAAGATCACTGAACATTTCCACTTTGTTGAATATCAATGTCCTAATGTTTCTGTTGCTGTTTTATAGAAAGATTTGTTTACTCATAATCATAACCAAGGTTCATTGCGCAGTGCATTAGGAAGGAACTGATAAAAATTAGATACTATTTATTTTATTTTATTTATACAGATATCGTACGTGTCTTCAGATTTTGCTCTGGTAGAAGGAGAAATGTTTCAGACACCAAGTATATCAGTGACGATGATGACGCCAGTTATGAACAGTTGCTATGGTAACAGTTGCAAAATGGAAATATTTGTTAGTATGCAGGAACACGTTATCTCTGAGTAAGTTTTGTCTTAGTTTAAAGCAATAATTCGACTAATATAATATCTAGTGCCCTTACTCTATTTTGGCTTATATCAACTCGTTTAGATATTTCGGTTCCCAAATTTGATATTGCAAAATATCGATAACAACAGGAACACATAATTTCATGTGTGAGGACCACATTTTCTTTATATGTAACAGAAAATACAGCTTCCCTTGAATAATTTGTTCATTTCCTTATTTAGATTAGACGTATTCAGTTAAAATTTCTTAAATCTTAAAATTTTTGCAATTAAATTAATTAACTCAACGGTGAGTATAGTATATTTTCAAGAAGGTATTTGTTTAAAAATTAAGATATAAAAATACAATTTTAAGACTTCTGTACCAAATATACCGATCATTACTTTGGAAAGTTTTGTAAAAAGGAAACAGACTGTCCTATATAATTGACACATGCTTCATCGTGATACTTATGTCCCGTGATGTTTTCTAATCAATCATAGCGCTTATTTATTGTTCACGATCATTTACTCACTAAACCGTGAGTAAATCAATTATTTTCCATTCTCAAATACTTCTAAACAACAACAACAAGAAACATTATAGGTTGAGGTCGTTGTATTTGACAGAATTATTACATTTCAAGAACAATAATTTCTCTAGTCTATTGTAAAAACATCTGCTGGAATGAGGGCTGCCTCGAATTTCGGCGTAGTCATGATGAAATCAACTGAAATCATCTGAAACTAAGAAAAGACTGTAAAAATAAAACGGAACATAAATAGGGTGGGTGGGGCGGGAATATGTATGCTTTCTTCTGTCATTTTTCAAAATGTATTCTATCAAATACAGACCTCGAGTGACGCTTTTACACATGTACTCCCTTATATACAGTACACGCACGTGAAAATCGTTCAAAAATTATAAAGGAATGTGCAACAGAGTAAATCGAATTAACGTAAAATCATAAATATTAGCGATAAATATAACAGATACCATAAACTGCGTATTGTTCGAAACGAAAATAATTTCATTTATTTACACCTTGTTCATTAGCTGGAGAAAAACTATTGCACAAAATTTTGTCATAACAACTTCAGGTGTTCATCAGGGGAGGAAATACCACAAATTTTGATGGAGGACTGTATGGTCACTTATGACGTAAACAATACAGCTTCGACGCATGATTTTATTTTTTATCCGCGTGTTGATCATAAAGTAGAAAAGGCTCGCAATGTAACGATTAATGTAATTGGTCAACTTTGGCAAGATGGCGTCCTAGCAACGAACAAAATGTTAACAACTGTTACCTTGATGATGGAAGATCGGGAAACTGCTGGTGCTTGTTATTTGATAAGCGAACCAACAATCAAAACATTTGATAGTTTGTAAGTACTTACAGTCACGTTAGTTCGTTGATATGTATATACCTATACACTGTTTTATATTACGATATATCCTTAGAAACGGAAAAGGCATTTTGCACATGCGCATTCTACGTAGGACAATAAAGCGATACTAAAATCACTTTAATAGTATTAAACAATTCGATAAACACTTTGATCTAGTTTAAAGGATAAACTAACAATTAATGGTCTTACAGGTATATAAAATAATATTAGGGACTTTATTTCAATCAATATAAGAAAGATTCAATGGCACTTATAGATATGTCCTGTTTTGTAAATAGTAATTTTGTACAAATTCATGTATTCTATAAAATAAAGAGAAATTTCCAATTTGTAGATATAGATTACAAACTTTGATGCACTTTACAAAATATAATTACTTTTAAGTTTAACCCAGGCGATTTGATTAACGATCAAATAATATCAAGTATATTAAATTTAATCTTCATAACTTTATGTTGAAATAACAGACCCATGCATAGTCGCTCGATGATTAACGTAACACATGCAATTAAAGGTATTTCAAACACATTTTTTCAGGTCATATTACTCTTTCTACCAAGGTGAATTTGTTCTCTATCAACATGACGTTTTCCCAGAAAAGGTAAACTACATTTTTCAATAGATTTTATATTTGAAAGTTCGAATTTACCCATTCAAAAAGACAAATTGAAAATAGATTTTGTCAGAAAAGCATTTGATTAAATAGTAACAAATGAACAAAGGGAAAGGTGACCAAAAATACGCTTCAAAAGATAATCAAAATTGGCTGCAATATGGTTGCACACTCTTAAATATATATATTATATCTTTTAATTTCTAAAGTGGTGTTAAGGGTAGGGGATCACGTGACATTTGGCCGCGCCAATGACTAAAAAGTTTTTTTTCTTAATTTTTCGTTAGATCTTTTAATATTTGAGTAATAATTGAGTCATGTACCATGTTCCCGGCAAATATTTGCCAGTGCGTATTCCAATTTTGATTTTGAACTCTTCCCGATATGCTTGCAGAAATTTGTGACACAATGTTACCGCATATTGTCATCAAAATCTTGCAGCATAGAAAAATTTCTCGACAAATATTTGCCTACACTATAGTATGTTATTTATTTAAGTATTAAAAGATATCGCTGAAGGTCAGCAAAACAACTGGCGCGGCCATTAGAGGTGACCCAGAGTTACCGTTAACAAATTCACGTGAGCAACCACCCTGTGATGTTTGTTATTGTTTTTTTTAGAGAAAACTAAGGTTTATTCTCTATCTCTGGGTCTGTCAGTCCAAAATCTCGAGCCCACAATCACTTAATGCCCTGATGAAATCTCTAATGTACATAAAGTGAGACATGGAAATTTTGCACTCTCCATTGTACCTTCTGGTCATAATTGCTGTAAAATTGGGAATTTTTATGAATTGGATTTTTAGTTTTGTAGAAATCACGCAGCGGTGTTGTTATCGAGGGATCAAAAGAAAATTTCGTGACCAATAGTTGACAAAATTCTGCGAGCAATGCTATTGACTTGTCAATATATATGGATATCGTACTTTAATGAGTGTTCAAAAAGTTATAGAAGTGGCTTAACTCAATCATAATTTGTATACGAAATGCCCACCATTTTAAGACTCTGTTTACGAATTTTATTTTAATCTTATTCAATTTCGTCGGTTTCAGGTACATGTCGGATTCCAGCCATGTCGACCAAGGTCATCTTTAACATGTCCGTGTGTGGCGATGATACGTCTGGTGACGACACATTCATCATTGACGTGTGTCGGCGGTTCGGAGAGCGTTACCACGCCCTCGAGTTCATCGTGTATATGAACAATGATATGACTGCACAGACAAAGGTTTATACACTTCCTAGCAGGAATTTCTTCCAGGTAAATACCAGAAAACTAAGCTTTAAGTCCAGATAAAAACAGAATAATTTCAGATTGACAAGTTTTATTTTTAGATTTAGAAGCTACGAATTTGTGTATACGAGTGTGTGTACTTTCCTTCAATTCTACCTTTTAACAACAGTCCTTTTAGCTAAGCTTAGGTAGCTTGGAATCAAAGCTGCACCCTGTTTTGTTTGATCAAGGCTTTAATTATTATTTTCGCTTGTTTTTTTGTCTACTTATCACATTAGATCAGAGTTAAATGAGTAAGTTTATGATGAATATTAATAATAATGAAGTAATAATCGGAGTCATATTGATTTATCATTTTATCTAAAACAGATTCTATTCTTATGAGACATTTCTTCGTAAAGTTCTATCAAGTCTTTAATTTCAATTATTGTCAAATTGTTTGAAACAATGGTTTTGAATTGGAAAATATATAAAAACGTTTTCTGAACGTTTTTTTTTACAGTTTGTCTTACCATCTGGGGCGATCATCAATATACGTTCTGTACTATTCTTGTTAGATATTTGGGTGAAACCGTCAGCTTTAGATTTCGGTCATACCTCAGGTAGGTTTCTTTTATCAGTCAAATTTTTCTATGTTTGAAGTTCCGATTTTATACACATATTTCAGTCGCGGAGACGACTCTGTTTAAATGGAAAATTACTTTTTACTAAGAAATATTTACTCTTAGAAGGTGTATGTTACGTCAATTTACATGTATATACATGTAAAAATGTTGGAAACTTGGATCAAATTTTATCAATATAAAAAGTAGATTTGTTACAATTATGTCAACACAATCAGATAGTGCAAACATGTGCATTAATGCTGACATGTTACATGTATTTCTTCCAATGTCGCTTTATATTTGTGAAAAATGATAATTATTGGCGTTTATTAGGACTGTGCGGAACATACGACGGTGACGTAAGCAATGACTTCACACTGCCAGACGATAGTGTAGAAGCTTTAGACGATATTCCAAGATGGCGACGAAATCTGTTACCAAGGACATTTTTAAGCGCATGGAGGTAATGAGATATGTTTTATCTATTGAATATGATATATTTTATCTGTGGAATAAGATAGGTTCTATCTATTAAATAAGATATGTGTTATCCATTGAATAAGATATGTTTTATCCATAGTTGCTAGTTTTTTGTCAGTGCATTTTTAATGATCCAGATCTTAAATGGCACTTTAATGGCACTAAGGAAAAAAACTTTTTAATGGAAATTCTAATGAGGAATTATGCATATTTGGTTAGGGTTTTGTCCATTTTAATGTAACCAAAATGTTAACATGTAGACTGGAAAATATCCAGTTTTTCAGATGTTGGTTATTTAACTTCCTAGAACTATGCTGGAATTTCTACAGTATTTAAATAGGCTTGCTCCTTGTTTACTATGTCATGTTTTCTATCAAAGCTGTGAAATTTTGTATTTCATATTTGATAATATAATTTACTTTTTTACAGACCAGAAGAAACTTTGTTCGGTGGCGTGCTTGAAAATGATTACACATTACCAACGGAGATTGGGACCAAATGTGCATGCATGAATTCTACATGTACACCGACTGATATTGTTGAAACATGTGACTTCATATATGGAGAGGATATCACTTCAGACCTAGAAAAGTACACACAGATAATTGAAATTCAGAATAGGCGCAAGAGGCAGGCCACTGACAGTGTATGGGATAATATTGACTATGATCCAAACAACCCATCCGATCAGGTAATAATGCCGTCTGCGTTAACATAAAAAAACTAATAGCGCGCTCGACGAGCTGGCCCGAAGGGAGTGTTCGCAAAGCGAGCTTTACGGTAACGCGAGTACCTGCTAAGTGATGGTTTTGAAAACTTTCGTCCGAAGTACCGAATTGGACACATAGCAACTTTTCGAATTACAAGATAACGATAAAAGCTGATGTACTCTGATTGAAAACGGAAACGTAGACTGGTGTCCTGCGCACTTATATAGGAACCATAATAGAAAGGAGGAACCAGAATAAACGGAAGCAGTATATAAAATACCGAATGACAATTTTAAAACGGAAAATGTAAAATAAAAATGAACGATTGTTTTAAACTATCTTACGAGCTCGCTTTGAGGCTTTGCCTTTTTCATATTATTTTATTAGTTCTTTACATGTTTATTAAAGTATGAAACTTTGTGTCCATTCATGAAATAAAAATAGAACTTGCGAATGATATCTTTTACAATACATAGTTACCTATAAAGCAATAAAATTGTAATGTATAAGCACACTAATAGCATACCTGTATCTTAATACATGTAAAGCATTTTGTATTTCAGGATGAAAATTAACAATCTGTATTTTCTTTTCTTAAGTTTCCAACATGGCCGACCGGAAGTGGACTTACGGAGGCAGGTGCTACTCTAAGTTGTGAAGAGGCATTACAAAATCATGCGTCTTGGGATATTTGCAGTGTTGCAATTGATACTAATTCAATAGTAACATCATGCGTTACAAACATTCTGGTGAATTGTCTTTTCTAATATTACCATTTTGTCTTTAAAATTTCTTTAAAAAAAAACTTTTAAATTTCTTTAAAAAAAAGAAGTTTAATTTAAGATTAAGTAAAACCTTTTTAGTGCATAAAATCCCTAAAATGACCTTTCTGTAAAATAATGTGATAAAAAATTAAATGAGCTCCACTGTGGAAAAAGCGTGAAAACGTCAAATTCTTACTAAGTAAGAAAATGACAATAAAGAAATATACTCAAAATCAAATCGATTTTACAGAAAGGTCATTTTGGGGATTTTATGCATAGTCTTTTAAAGAAATTGTCGCTGTTTTGTATGAAAACCTAATGTGGCTTAAAATGACTTCTGTAATATATTCGACATATTCACATATATTAAACTATATATATCATTACTGATGAACGTGTTCCATGTAATGGATTTTGGTCTGTGATATGGCAATTATATTTTAGTTGAGCGACAGCGAAGAATTTATTGACGGATATGTTGAAGATATGAAAGTGCAGTGTAAATTAGCGGTATTATCTGATCCAACTATAGCTGAAAGTCTTGGACAAACACAAGAAGAGCTCGTGACCTTCCTGTTGACCTTGACATGTATAAATGATTGCAGTAACCATGGCAATTGCGTGAATGGTGAGATTCTTAGTTTCTCGTTAGTTGTTAAATTTCTTTATAATATTTCAAAGATTTTGTAAATAAGGACTATCACGTGTTATTAAAGGCTATTATTTGTTTAATGTAAAATTAAGCTTTCGAAATGTGTAAAGTATATTTATATTTGATTTAATAATTTACATAATGGTGAAATGATTATAAATATATTAATTGGTATTGGAGAAGAAAGTTTCATATTATCTTCTTAGTGAAAAAACGGATTTAATAATGCAATTTGTGGAATGGGGTATGGATCTGTTTTATATAATTTTATTTCTTCAGTACCCAAGACGAATTGAAAGTTGTTGTAGATTCTTCAGTTTCTTTGAACATTTCGCTTTTTAATAAAACTTGATCACTTATTGTATGCTAATAAAAAGGTGTTACTTAAATTTTACATTTGTATGTTACATAAGTACACTCCTTTTGTATCACAGTTTTACCAATCTTTTCTTCAGATATATGTCAATGTGAAAGAGGTTTCCAAGGAGACGACTGCTCGATTACTATGGATACGGAGCCGGAAATAATATCTCTCTCGGAAAACATTTTCTCCGGTGAAGCAGAATCCGGCCTGTCCGTAATATCACAAGTGGTGGTGTACGGTAGAGGTTTTGAAAACTCGGATAATCTGGTTTGTCATACGGAACAAGTTGAGGTAAAGAATCTTTAATGTAATATAAGAAATTTCTTGCATTTTTAAAAAAAAATAATTTATTAACTTTATTATAATTTTCTGTTTCATAACATTTGTTCTGAAGCTTCCATTATTCTAAGTTGACACTTTTCTTATTAGTAAATATGGTGTCGGCTTCCAAGCTCTGGGATAGTTGATTTTAGTCTTAATGGAGTATAGACAAGGTTTCTTCATATGACATACTGGATATAAGCTCCAAAAAACGAGCTCAAAGGTGGATTTAAAAGTTCTAAGCTTTCATCGCATATTTTTTACTTTTATAGATGATAGATTTATAGTCTCATGGAAAATTATTATTATTCAAATTATAATTCTCATATATATCTAAGAATACGACAGTGCAGGTGATGTAAATTCTTCAAATTTGGTTATAGAAATAGAGGAAAACTATAAGCTGTCATTTCTATTAAAGTATCTTATTTGTAAAAACAAATGTAGTTCGTTTAGGCTGCTGCTAGCTGCATGAACGGTAGCTTACCAGTACCATCTATGAACAGTCTCAATCAAACCTGGCCAGAATCATTTTCAATTTTGCATTTTTAACGTGCTAAAGTTTTGCAACTGTTATTATATTATGCAAAGTACAAGTCATCGCTGCAGCAAAAAATTTCATTCCGTTTTTTGTTAATCATCTCATATTCAAAATTCCTAGAGAAATTTTAAATGGTGCTCGATGGTTGGTAAAAGTAGTTCACAATTTGAAAATAAAAGGTTTTCTAACACTTGACGGTGTGATACATTCTATTCTTACTGTAAATCGAATATAAGCTTTCGATGTCAAAAGTACCACCTAATGTCATGCTGATAACATCTATTTTCATGATCAGTAGACTGTATTATGTTTTCATGACCAGTAAACTGTATTATGGAAATATGAATACAGTAGCAAACCCCGAAAAAACAGGCCAGAATCAAGTTTGTTTGAGCAAAAATTGTAACACATACACCTTTATGAATTATTTCAGGTTTCCGATAATGGTTATCGTAGCACGGGTCTCAACAGTAGCTCTAAAGGAATATTCCTCACTTCCGGAAGCGTTCTATGCGAGTTGTCGGGTTCTCTACCATTGACTAGCCTGCTACTATCTGTCAGTAATAATGGTGCAAACAAGTCTAATAACGTAATGTACATATTCCAAGATCCAGTCTGCTACGACTGCGACCCTGACCTACAGATTTGTGACATTCAGGTACATGTATATTTATTAAAAGACATAGTCTTCGTTCAATGTTTTTAAGTTTTCTCTTCACAGGCAATTGTACTCTTATTTCTGATATTCGAGTTTGCATCTAGTTCATGCGCGTTACTTTCAGCGTTGTTCGTAAAAATGGTTTGCTGGTACTGGTAAATTATATTAACTTTCATGTCTTTTAAGAATCCAATTTTAAGCTCGTAAATACTAGGGAAATATTATCAATCTTCGCACAACTTTCCAAATGTTAGTACAATTCGGAAGCAGTCATCTTATCTTCAATGCCATAAGTGTGCAAATTTGATTCATATAATGTAAATTCAATAGTTTGAAAGCTTTCTAACAAATTGTTTGCATTATTCAGCCTACAAGCTGTGTGATTGAAGGACAGTGCTATGCAGCTGGAAAGTACAACCCAACAGATGAGTGTTTCCTGTGTGACCCAGTTTCAAATTTCTGGATATTTAAACCATGTAAGTAAACTTCAGAAGTTTTTTTTGCAGA